ACTGAATGATCAATGGGTTACAGAAGACATAAAGGAGGAAATCAAAAAATTCTTAGAGATAAATGAAAATACAGACACAACATATCAGAATCTATGGGACACAATGAAAGCAGTTTTAAGAGGGAAATTCATTGCCTGGAGGTCATTCCTCAAAAAAAGGAAAAACCAACAAATAAATGAGCTCACACTTCATCTCAAAGCCCTAGAAAAGGAAGAGCAAAACAACAGCAAATGTAGCAGAAGGCAAGAAATAATTAAAATCAGAGCGGAAATCAACGAAATTGAAACAAAAGAAACTATTGAAAAAATTAACAAAACTAAAAGTTGGTTCTTTGAAAAAATAAATAAGATCAACAGACCCTTAGCCATGCTAACGAAGAGAAGAAGAGAGAGAACTCAAATTACTAACATACGGGATGAAAAAGGCAATATCACAACAGACGCTACAGAAATACAGAAGACAATTAGAAATTATTTTGAAAACCTATATTCCAATAAAATAGAAGATAGTGAAGACATCGATAAATTCCTTAAGTCATATGATTTGCCCAGACTGAGTCAGGAGGATACTCACAACTTAAACAGACCAATAACAATAGATGAAATAGAAGAAGCAATCAAAAGACTTCCAACCAAGAAAAGCCCAGGACCGGATGGGTATACAGCGGAGTTTTACAAAACCTTTAAGGAAGAATTAATACCAATACTTTTCAAGCTATTTCAGGAAATAGAAAAAGAGGGAGCTCTGCCAAATTCATTCTATAAGGCCAACATCACCCTGATTCCGAAACCAGACAAAGACACCTCAAAGAAAGAAAACTACAGACCAATATCTCTGATGAACCTAGATGCAAAAATCCTCAATAAAATTCTGGCAAATCGGATACAAAGGCACATCAAAAAAATTGTGCACCATGATCAAATAGGATTCATCCCTGGGATGCAAGGATGGTTCAATATACGGAAATCAATAAATGTTATTCACCACATCAATAGACTTAAAGATAAGAACCATATGATCATCTCAATAGACGCAGAAAAAGCATTCGACAAAGTACAGCATCCCTTTATGTTCAAAACATTAGAAAAACTAGGGATAACAGGAACTTACCTTGACATTGTAAAAGCTATCTATGCTAAGCCTCAGGCTAGCATCATTCTCAATGGAGAAAAATTGAAGGCATTCCCCCTAAAATCTGGAACAAGACAGGGATGCCCTCTATCACCACTTCTATTCAATATAGTTCTCGAAACACTGGCCAGAGCAATTAGACAGACGAAAGAAATTAAAGGCATAAAAATAGGAAAGGAAGAACTTAAATTATCACTATTTGCGGATAACATGATTCTATACCTAGAAGACCCAAAAGGGTCTACAAAAAAACTACTAGAACTAATAAATGAATTCAGCAAAGTGGCAGGATATAAAATCAACACGCATAAATCAAAGGCATTTCTGTATATCAGCGACAAAACTTCTGAAAAGGAAATGAGGAAAAACACTCCATTCACAATATCCTCAAAAAAAATAAAATACTTGGGAATCAACCTAACAAAAGAGGTGAAGGATTTATACAATGAAAACTACAAAACCCTAAAAAGAGAAGTAGAAGAAGATCTTAGAAGATGGAAAAATATACCCTGTTCATGGATAGGCAGAACTAACATCATCAAAATGGCGATATTACCAAAAGTTCTCTATAGGTTTAATGCAATGCCAATCAAAATCCCAATGGCATTTCTTGTAGAAATAGATAAAGCAATCATGAAATTCATATGGAAAAATAAAAGACCCAGAATAGCAAAAGCAATTCTAAGCAGGAAGTATGAATCAGGTGGTATAGCGATACCGGATTTAAAACTATATTACAGAGCAATAGTAACAAAAACAGCATGGTACTGGTACCAAAACAGGCGGGTGGACCAATGGTACAGAATAGAGGACACAGAGACTAATCCACAAAGCTACAACTATCTTATATTTGATAAAGGAGCTAAAAGCATGCAATGGAGGAAGGATAGCATCTTCAACAAATGGTGTTGGGAAAACTGGAAATCCATATGCAACTGTTGAGAGCCACAGCCAAAGGGGCCCCAGCAAACTTCCAGCTGCCAGCAAACTTCCAGCTGCTGGCTGATGATTGGCTCACAGCGGCCCCAGCAACATCTAGCTGATTGGCTCCTCGGCCCCAGCAACATCTAGCTGATTGGCTCCTCTGCGGTGATGCTCATTGGGCTGTTTCCCTGCCCTTTCAGACCACGGAGCTGCTCATTGGGGGACTTTTTTGGCTCCGCCCACGTGACCCAGCCAATCGGCCTCAAGAGCAGGAGGATTGTGGGAGGTGGAGAGAAGCTTGTGTGGGAGAGAGAGGCTTGTGGAAAGCCGGTGGTGGCAGTTGAGGCTCTGAGGGTTTTTCCTGAGAGGCTGTTTTGTTTGGCGTGTGTGGTTCTAAAAATAAAGTTAGTTTCTTTTGACAAGTGGCTCCTGATTGTGCTCAGCCAGACTGCGGCATGCAACAAAATGAAACTGAATCCCCTCCTCTCGCCATGCACAAAAGTTAACTCAAAGTGGATCAAGGAGCTAGATATCAAATCAGAGACTCTGCGTCTGATAGAAGAAAAAGTTGGCTCCGATCTACATATTGTGGGGTCGGGCTCCAAATTCCATAATAGGACACCCATAGCACAAAAGTTAATAACAAGAATCAACAAATGGGACTTACTTAAACTGAAAAGTTTTTTCTCAGCAAGAGAAACAATAAGAGAGGTAAATAGGGAGCCTACATCATGGGAACAAATTTTTACTCCTCACACTTCAGATAGAGCCCTAATATCCAGAGTATACAAAGAACTCAAAAAATTAAACAATAAGAAAACAAATAACCCAATCAACAAATGGGCCAAAGACCTGAACAGACACTTCTCAGAGGAGGACATACAATCAATCAACAAGTACATGAAAAAATGCTCACCATCACTAGCAGTCAGAGAAATGCAAATCAAAACCACCCTAAGATACCATCTCACTCCAGTAAGATTGGCAGCCATTATGAAGTCAAACAACAACAAGTGCTGGAGAGGATGTGGGGAAAAGGGTACTCTTGTACATTGCTGGTGGGACTGCAAACTGGTGCGGCCAATTTGGAAAGCAGTATGGAGATTCCTGGGAAAGCTGGGAATGGAACCTCCATTTGACCCAGCTATTGCCCTTCTCGGACTATTCCCTGAAGACCTTAAAAGAGCGTACTACAGGGATACTGCTACATCAATGTTCATAGCAGCACAATTCACAATTGCTAGACTGTGGAACCAACCCAGATGCTCTTCAATAGATGAATGGATAAAAAAAATGTGGCATTTATACACAATGGAGTATTATACAGCACTAAAAAATGACAAAATCATGGAATTTGCAGGGAAATGGATGTCACTAGAGCAGATTATGCTTAGTAAAGCTAGCCAATCCCTAAAAAACAAATACCAAATGTCTTCTTTGATATAATGAGAGCAACTAAGAACAAAGCAGGGAGGAAGAGCAGGAAGAAAAGATTAACATTAAACAGATACATGAGGTGGGAGGGAAAGAGAGAGAAAAGGGAAATTGCATGGTAATGGAGGGAGACCCGCATGGTTATACAACATTACATATAAGAGGTTGTGAGGGGAATGGGAAAATAAACAAGGAGAGAAATGAATTACAGTAGATGGGGTAGAGAAAGAAGATGGGAGGGGAGGGGAGGGGAGATAGTACAGGATAGGAAAGGTAGCAGAATACAACAGTTACTAATAGGGCATTATGTAAAAATGTGGATGTACAACCGATGTGATTCTGCAACCTGTATTTGGGGTAAAATTGGGAGTTCAAAACCCACTTGAATCAAATGTATGAAATATGATATGTCAAGAGCTTTGTATTGTTTTGAACAACCAATTAAAAAAAAGATATTGTGTCCATCTACAACTAAAAAGATATTTATAAAAAAAGATATTTATAAAAAAGAAACTATGTATTTCTCTTATTGGGGGATGTTTTGAGCATTTCTTCATATCTATTTTTTCACATAAGTACATGTGTATGCATACTTACATATATATATTTATTTATTTTGAGGATTTGAACCTCCAGGTGCTTTACCATTAAGCTACATCCCCAGCGCTTTTAATTTTTTTTTTTTTTTGAAAAAGAGTGGCCTTGAACTTGTGATTCTCTTGCCTAAGCCTCCAGAGTAAATGTCTTACAAGCATATACTACTGTGCCTGGCTGATTTTTTTTTTATGTTTGAGGACCATTTGCATTTCTTTTAATATTTTTTGTTCATTTTCCTCATTTTTTCTTCCTTTCTCCCTCCTTTATTTTTTTCTTATCTTGTCTTCCTCTTTCTCCTTTTCTTCCTTCTTTTCCATTCTGCTTTCTCCTTCTACTGTTTTCTTTTATTAGGGATATATATATATATACACACACACACACACACACACATATATATATATATATATATATATATATATCCTCCCTTTGATTCTTAACTTACTAATTTTTTTCTTTTTAAATTTGTTTTTATCTTAGCTGACTGATTTTAACTTAGGTTTGTATATATTATACTCCCAGTGCTGAGATCAAATTTACAGCCTCGTGCATGGGAGACAAGTACTCTATAGCTGAAATACATTCCTAGTTTCCTTATGCCCCTTTTGAATTTTAAATTTTGGGAGGTTTTTATTTTTGTTTTTTATTTTCTTATGCCCTTTTTAAAATAAATATCTGCATTTTCTTTCTTTCATAGAAGACCAGCTTGTATAGAAAATTTTTCATAATTTTTTTCTTATTCAAGGCAGTTATTTTACAGAAATTAAAATTTTATGCAAAATTTAAAACTTCATACAAAAATTAAAGTGGGGCATTTCCTCAAAGAAGATATAGTAGTGGCTTAATGCTTCAAATAGACTGTAACTCTTTGGAATGTCTGTTTTTCCTAACTCATTTGCCTCTTTTTTGAACACAGGAACAAAAGCATACTACACAAATAAATGAGCTGGAGGGACAGTTCCATCAAAAAGCCATAGAAATTGGCATGATTCAGACAGAGCTAAAAACAATAAAACAATTCCAGAAGAGAAAAGTTCAAGTGGAGAAAGAATTAGATGATGTAAGTTTCTATCTTGGAGATTAGAATTAACTGCTTAGATCTGCAAAAGCCTTAACAAACTTATGCCTATGTCGCATGACAAATTAGAGATTATTTGAGAGAAAAAGAGGAAGCCAAATGTCTCCATGGGCTATTTGTTTTTTCCCTAAGCATTGATTTGTGAATTCAACCAAACCTCAGCCAACACACCCTCCCATGATTATCAGCAGTTAACCTTTGGACTGACTTCAGTAAGAAGGGAAATGCCCGTTCTAGAAAAAAAGTAGCAAGTTTCTAAAATGAGTCCCTAAGTCTGACCCACATTCTAGGAGAGGCAAATTAGGTTCCATTATTTGAAGGGAAGAGTGTCAAAAAATGGTGCACACATTTTAAGACCTCCACTGTTGTCCACAGTATACACAGCTGCGGTTATTAAAATATTGTTCTGGGGTTCTGATCACCAGAATAGTCTTTAGTGTCACTTTACAGTATTGTCTAAATATCTTAGTGTGAAAGTTAAGACCCTAAACCAACTTAGGGACATCATTATCTCTTTGCTACTTCCACTCTTCCCTACACACACACACACCTCCCTTTAATCCACCCAATTCATTTATATCTTAAGTATTTTCTCTCTTGCTTGTTCACACTGTTTAGTTAAAGGTGGACACAGACTTTGTTTTACTTTACGTGGTGCTGAGGATCGATCCCAGTGCCTAACACGTGCTAGGCAAGCACTCTACCACTGAGCCACAGCCACAGCCCCTCACACTGTTTTTAAAATGTGGAATGCATTCCTGATGGATCTCTGTCCTTTAAATTTTACCTAGTCTTCAAAGTCTCGGCTCAAATGCCTGTTGTCCATGAGATCGTCCCCAGAAGTCCTGTTAAAACGTGAGAATTCTCTGTACCTTTATAAAAGGCATTATATTACTTAGCCCAACCTATCTTGAAATTATATTTATTCATTTGTCTTATATCGCCTACTAGATTGTAAATTCTTTGAGGCACGAACAGTGCTGTCTTTAGTGTTCAGCGAAATCCGAGAAACGCAGCATTGCTTAATAATGTCCTGTTGAAGCGGAGCTGGTCTTCGGAACCCGGCGCTGGCGGTCTGCGCCTGCGCTCTGGCTGTGTCTGACTCCGCCTCGGGCCGAGCGCACCGCCCCAGTGACGTGAGGCCCCGCGCCACCCAGCGCGGCGCGCCGCAGCCGTTTAGGCGCGCCAGCCTCCAAGATGGCAGAGCGGGTGTCTCCAGGAAAGTCGACAGACCAGGTGTGTCCCTTCCTCTTTAAAAAGCCCGGACGGAAAGGGGCTGCAGGCCGCAGAAAGCGTCGGGTGTGTGACCCGGAGCTCGGGGAAAGCGGTAGCAGTAGTGACGAAGGCAGCTCTGTGGTTCGACCAGAGAAGAAGCGGGCGACCCACAATCCAATGATACAGAAGACCCGCGGCAGCGGAAGACAGAAGGCTGCCCACGGCAACTTCAGTAGCGAGGAGGAGGAGGAGGAGGAGGAGAGTCTAGGCGTGGTCTACAGGTCCACCCGCTCGGCGAAGCCTGTGGGGCCAGAGGATATGGGGGCGACAGCTGTCTATGAGCTGGACACAGAGAAGGAGCGCGACGCCCAAGCCATCTTTGAGCGCAGCCAGAAGATCCAGGAGGAACTGAGGGGCAAAGAAGATGACAAGATCTATCGGGGAATCAATAATTACCAGAAATTCATAAAGCCCAAGGACACGTCTATGGGCAATGCCTCCTCCGGGATGGTGAGGAAGGGCCCCATCCGAGCCCCTGAGCATCTCCGAGCCACCGTGCGCTGGGATTACCAGCCCGACATCTGTAAGGACTACAAGGAGACTGGCTTCTGCGGCTTCGGAGACAGCTGCAAATTCCTCCATGACCGTTCAGATTACAAGCACGGTTGGCAGATAGAACGTGAGCTTGATGAGGGTCGATACGGTGATTATGAAGAAGAAAATTATGAAGTGGGAAGCGATGATGAGGAAATACCATTCAAGTGTTTCATCTGTCGTCAGACATTCCAGAACCCAGTCGTTACCAAATGCAGGCATTATTTCTGTGAAAACTGTGCACTACAGCATTATCGCACCACCCCGCGCTGTTACGTCTGTGACCAGCAGACTAACGGTGTCTTCAATCCCGCGAAAGAATTGATTGCTAAACTGGAGAAGCATCGAGCTGCAGCAGAGGGCAGTGCTTCTGATATCTCAGGAGACCCCCATGGGGTCTAATCCTCATTACCTAGGTTTTCCATAATTGTCAAATCTCAAAATAAATATTTTGTTTTTCTTTTGGTAATCCTACGAACACCCCAAAACAACCATGATTAAAGGAATATCAAGATTTTCTAGACGGAATATAAAGTTTTGTTTTATATAAAAATGCTGCAAATTGAAGCAATATAGTTAAATTTTGAGAAACTCTTAACATAACCAACCCATGTCTAGATATATATCTTGAATCAAAATGGGTTAACATTCTAATGGGTCATGGTGATTTTTTGAAAAGACCAACGTTGCCACCTACTGGAAGAATAGATTTCAGACCTTTCAAAGAGGGCTGTTGAGGACTTCAAATTCAAAGGCAAAAGTTACAAGTTTATGGGAAAAATAAGATGATTCTGTGGAATTCCAAATGTGGAATAAATGAGACAGGCATAGGGGCCTATGAACTTCAAATTGGAGGTATACATTAGGGACATTTTACTGTGTATATAGAATTTGTTGTACAACTTGAAAAGAGACTAATTATATTTGGAGTATCAAAAAGTATTCAAGGCATACATTCTTAAAGAAAAAAGTGGATTTCTATCTGCCTAACAGAAGAAACATATATTGGAAATTGAAGTTATTATTTTTGTTACTTTTGATAATGTTCATTTTAGCAAATTTAACTTAGAGAATAAAAAAAGAAAATAAAAATAACTCCAGCCCCCACAATTATACAACCAAGAGATAACCATTGTTAATATTTTGGTGTAGTCTTTCCTTTGTTATTCTATGTTGAAATATAGTTTAAAATGTATGCTATTTTTTTTAGAAGTAAAGTGATGTTTTACAAGTTGTTAACCTAATTTTTCACATCATATATTATGAATATATTTCAATGCTGTGGTATTTTCCTATAAAATCTTTTTGAATAAATGCATGGGATTCCATTGGATAGACATGAATTTATTAGTTCCTTTTCTGTAGGATATTTGGACTTTTTTCCTAATTTCTCACTATTATAAAGTATGATGTACATCTAAAGCATAACGAAATTTCTATATCTGGGTGGGGTTGTGGCTCAGCGGTAGAGCACTTGCCTAGTGTGTGTGAGGCCTTGGGTTCAATCCTCAGCACCACATAAAAATAAATAAGTAAAACAAAGGTGTTGTGTCCAACCACAACTAAAAAATAAACATTTAAAAAAACCCCAATTTCTATATCTTTAATTAGTTTTTAGGATACTTCTTAGAATTGGAATATATAATTTAGGAACATGACATCAGTTGTGATGGGTACATGCCTATAGTCCCAGCTACACAGGTGGCTGAGGCAGGAGGATTGCTTGAGTCCAGGAGTTCCAGGCTATAGTGCAATATGCCTATTGGGTGTTCACACTAAGTTTGACATCAATATGGTGACCTGGAAATGGGACCAACAGGTTGCAAGTACTGATCAGTACTGAGATTGTGCCTGTGAATATTCACTGCCCTCCAGTTTGGGCAACATAGTAAGACCCCATCTCTGAAAAAAAGAACATGAACTTCTAACAATTTGTGATGTACATTGCCTGCTAATCACTTGAAAGATTTATTAATTATAGATTTTTGGAGAAGTCTAATGGTATATGAAAGGGCTATCGCCACACTCTTTAATAGAAAGTATTTCTATAAATTCATGAGTTGACCTTAATTTTGAGGGGAGTATTGAAGGTTAAACTCAGGGAACCTTATCACTGACCTACATCCTCAGTCGTTTTTTTTTTGTTTTTTTTTTTTAATTTATTTTGGTTGGATGGACACAACACCTTTGTTTTATTTATTTGTTTTTATGTGGTGATGAGGATGGAATCCAGTGCCTCACACATGCTAGGCACGTGTTCTACCACTGAGCCACAACTTCAGCCCCTCAATTATCTTCATTTTTATTTTGAGACAGGGTTTCACCAAGTTGCTTAGGGCCTTTCTCAGTTGCTGAGGCTGACCTGGAACTCAGCCTCCTGAGTCACAGATTACAGGTATGCACCACCATACTCAGCTAAATTGATATATGTTTGAAAGTCTTTGACCATATGTGGCCATTTAAAAAGGTGTATTAAATTTTAGGAAGAAAGAAATACATCTGCTGGGCACATGCCTGTAATCCCAGTGGCTTGGGAGGCTGAGACAAGAGGATTTCGAGTTCAAAGCCAGCCTCAGCAAAGGTGAAGTGCTTAGCAACTCAGTGAGACTCTGTCTCTAAATAAAATACAAAATAGGGCTGTGGCTCAGTGGGCGAGTGCCCCTGAGTTCAACCCCTGGTACCCCCAAAATAAATAAAATGGTGCTCATTTAAAAAAAAAATCTCAAAGAGATCATATAAAATGGAGATTTAGTGAGCAGAACAGAGATTACACAAAGGAAAATTGTTCCATATAGGAAGGACAGTTTTAGACATGATATTCACTAATTTATATATTAAACAGATACTATGCTAAGTACTTTACATGCATTATTTATTACTGAATCCTTACCAATCCCTATGAGGTTAGTACTATTACTATCCTCTTTTTATCCTGGCAACTTGAGACCATGTCAAACAGCTGGTGAGAGAGGAACCTCTTGACTTTATTGCCTTTCTTTTTTTTTAAATTTTTTAGTTGTAGATGGACACAATATCTTTCTATTTTATTTATTTTTATGTGGTGCTGAGGATGGAACCCCCAGTGCTTCACACACGAGGGTGAGTGCTCTACCACTGAGTCACACAACCCCAACCCTCCTTTCTTTTTCTTTAATTTTTTTTCTTAGTTGTTGATAGACCTTTATTTTATTTATTTGTACATGGTGCTGAGAATCGAACCCATTGCCTCACATATATCAGTCAAGTGTGCTACTGCTGAGCCACAGCTCCAGGCCTTTATTGCCTTTTTTTGTGGTATGAATGGTAAAGTATGCCAGATGCCTATTTTATTTATTTGTTTGTTTGTTTGTTTGTTTTTTGTGTGTTATGTGGTGCTGGGGGTTGAACCCAGGGGCTTGTGCATATAAGGCAAGCACTCTACCAACCGAGCTATATCCCAGCCCCTCAATCTTATTTTTATTATTTATTTTTTGCTGGTACTGGGATTTGAACCTGGGGGTACTCTACCTCAAGCTACATTTCCAGCCATTTTAAATTTTTAAAATTTGAGACAGGGTTTTACTAAGTTGCCCAGGTTGGCCTGAAACATGCCATCCTCCTGCCTCAGCCTCTGAAATGCTGGGATTCCAGGTATGTACTACCATGTTCAGTCAGACTTATTATTTCCAGTAATATAGACTTCAGGATCATCACTCTAAATTAGTTCATATTTCTTTACTTAAAATAATTTTATAGCCTTTTTTATTCTATATCATTTTAATAATAGAAGTAGTATCCACCCATGGGAATCATGGGGAGATATTTTTTAGATTGATATTAGGAAGAGTTTTTTTTTTTTTTTTTTAATGGGAACTATTTGAGAAGAGTCTGATATATTAATGAGACTTGAATTAGTGATATTTCTGTCTCAAAACATTTTTCTCAGAAGGGATTCCTATATTAGGTGGGGGAATTATATAGTCTGACTCCTAACATACTTCCAATTCTTTTCTTTTGTTTTTAATTTCCCCACTGTGCAACTTGCTTCAGTGGCAGCAGCCTGCAGGCACAGGAGCCAGGCAATGGTTCAGGACCACAGTTTACTCTGGCATGGGAACATCCCTCCAATTCCAAAATTTTATGATTCCACATTTGAAATGATATTTGGAAAATATGATGAGAACAACTTATCTGAATGCCCTGAGAACTACTGATCATGAAAATCTTTTAAAAACTCAATACTGGGGCGGGGGTTGTGGCTCAATGGTGGAGCGCTTGCCTAACAAGTGTGAGGCACTAGGTTTGATACTCAACACTGAATATAAATAAATAAATTAAAGGTCCACTGGCAAAAAAAAAAAAAAAAATATATATATATATATATATATATATATATATATATATAAAACAAAAAATACATAAATTATAAATTAAATTTTAAAACAAAAAATCCAAAAAAACACCTCAATACTGTTCTTATAAATCTGTAGAAGATTGAGGGAAATATGGTATATTCAGGGGTGAGGAAACTTAAATTTTTGTGTTCAGCACTAGGAAAATTAATGTTTATCAGAAAATGTTTCTATATTGGGAATGTTCTAGGAATATGTCCCAATCAACCCCATTTCCTATTGACCAGTTTTTGTTTTTTAAATTTTAGCTGAAGGAAAATTTAAGAAATACAGAGAAGAAACATCAGGAATCTCTTAGCAGATTGGAGAGCAGATTTTTTGAAGAAAAGGTAAGAATGTTAGGGTTAATTAAGAAATGTTTTGTTTACCAGAACAACATAAGTGTATATACATGCATTCTGAAATATACCAACCTTCCATTTGGCATTTTATTAGATTATTATCAATTCATAACAGATAAAAATAAGAGAAAACAAAACTTTTTAATATACAAATCTCAATGTTCCAGTCCTTTCCCCCCTTTCATTCATTTTCTTAATTTTTTTTCTTAATTTTTAAAATTTATTTTAACTGATAAATAAAAACAAAATTGTACATATTAATGGAGTACCATATAATGTTTCAATACATGTATACATGTTTAAATCAGGTTAAACAATAACCTGTCTCCTCACACATTTATCATTTGTTTATGAGGAAAACTTTCAGAATCTTCTGTTTTTTGAAACTTACAGTATATTGTTGTTATTTATAGTTATATTACTGTGTAATAGCACCCCACCATCTTCTTGCTCCTAACTATAACTTAGCACTCACTGATCAACCCTTCTCCATCTCCCACACCACTCTCCCTGGCCTGAAATAGCCACCATTTTACTCTCAATTTCTGAGATCAACTGTTTTATTTATTTATTTTTTTTAAAAGAGAGAGAGAGAATTTTAATATTTATTTTTTAGCTTTCGGTGGACACAACATCTTTGTTTATATGTGGTGCTGAGGATCGAACCTGGGCTGCACGCATGCCAGGCAAGCACACTACTGCTTGAGCCACATCCCCAGCCCAACTGTTTTAGATTCCACATAGGAATGAGATCCTACATTACTTGTCTTTCTGGGCCTGGCAAACTTCCCTAAGCATAATGATCTCCATTTCATCCAGATCATTTAATTTTATTTATGTTGTATTATTATGTTGTGTTTTCGGCCACACAAAGAATTTCATTCTTTGTAAGGCTGAAAAAATACTCCATTGTGAATATGTACCACATGCTCTTTATCCATTCATCAATTGATAGACACTTAAGTTGTTCTCAAGAAGGATTGTCATTTTATAAAGGCTTCAAGTCTCAGCTTGGTATTCCCCTGGTACAATTAAAGCTACCTCTGTCCCTATATAGGGGAGAGGGAATTGGAGAAATCACTCTAGTGTGAGCATGAAAATGTTTGCCTAGTCTAGTGGAGCCAAGGATGTTAATAAAAGGGGGCTCAAAAATGTTTCTTAGCACATCACAAACTTCCTGGCTTCTCTGGGTCTCTGAAGTTAATTCTCCAAATTATAGGAAGTACGTTGGAATACTTTTCTTTTTTTGGGAGGGGGGTTTGTTTTTGTTTTCAGAGGCCGTATGATTTTAATTTATTCTTTTAATTGTTTCTTTAATCTTTCATTCTTAGGAAATAATTGAGGTAGATTCAGAAATTGATAGGGATGTAGGGAGTTGAGGGTGGGGCAAATAAGTATTCATGAAGTTTAGGTAAAAGGAATTACTTTGAAAAGTGGTTAGGGTTAGTTCAGTGGAAGATTGTGTGCTTAGTATGTGTGAGACTCTGGCTTCCATCCCCAACGCACCACACACACACACACACACACACACACACACACACACAGTGGCTCTAGGTTTCTAGTTTGTGTATGGAATTACCTAAAGGGAGTAAGACGGGAGCAGCACCCTGGTGCTTTCCCTCTGAGACTTTTCCTGGAATGGCCAGGAATAGGATGCTCTCAGTTGCATTTCCCTTCTACTCCACCCCAATCTGATCTCTTTAGAAGTACTTGGTCAGTTTACAGAATACCTGAGTAATGTGCTTATATAAATAGGATTATTCTGAGAGTAGCTGGCTCCTGGTCTTTCCCTCATGGTTGCAATATGATGACAATAGCTTCAATCTTTCTTTGTGTTTAAGGCAAGAATGAGGGGATCCTCCAGATGTATCTGCCCCTTTTATCTGGAAGCCATAATACATTTCCTAGAGCTTTTAGCAGATTTCTTCTTAGATTTCATTGGCCAGAACCATGTTATAAAGGTTGCTGGGAAAGTGAATGTTTTGTTTTTTCGGCCACTAGTAGCATTAGGTAGGAAAAAGGAAGATGGGAATTAAGTTTAACTGGTCATCCTCAGCAGTATCTGCCTCGCCCTGTTGTTACAGATTTCATGGGTATTTCTCTACTGGTTTGAATTCCAGAGCTGCTGCTTCAGAAGGCATTGGGCTTTCCAATAGGTCTGTCATTCATCTCATGCTTTGCACGCTCCACCTGGTCGTATATGATTTCCCCAGATCATTGTTGTTTGATTTGATTTTGTTTTCCCATTTATTCCTTTCTGTTTCTTTTGATTTATTTATTTTTTCAAAACATTACAAAGCTCTTGACATATCATATTTCATACATTTGATTCAAGTGGATTATGAACTCCCATTTTTACCCCGTGTACAGATTGCAGAATCACATCGGTTACACATCCACGTTTTTACATACTGCCATACTAGTTCCTTTCTGTTTCTTGAACCACAAAGTTCTGCTTACTTCCATGTTTTTGTGCTTGACTACTGCCTCTTCCTGAGATGTTCTTCTTTAAGCTATGGCTCATTCTCTAGAGCTCAAATGTCATTTCCTCAGAGATTTCCTATACTCCAGCCTAAAATGACCTCCCCCAGTTACTGCCTCCCTTATTACTCCCATGTATTTCATGTATAGCTCTTATCAGAGCCTATTTATTCTCTTATTTATTTGACTACTCACTAGGGAGGCTATATAACATCAGATTGCCTATGTACGAATCTTTGCTCTGCCACTTCCTGACAATATAATTTTGGGAAAGCCATTTATTTCTCTTTTCCTAGGTCACTGTTTCTGGGGATAATAATATTATCTATTTCATAGTGTTATTGTGAAAAGTAAATAATAATCGTTAATCTCTTAGAACTGTTGTTGAAAATATAACTATTTTAAACTGACCATTTTCTTTTTTTAGCACCGACTAGAAAAAGAGGCTGAAAAGAAGATAGTAACGCTGGCAGAGAGAGCCCACCATGAAGCTGTGACGTAAGAGATTGCTGCCTCTTTTTTCAAATAAGCCTCTCTTCTTTGCTAGTCTACTTTCTTTCTTTTGGTGGCAGATTGGGAATCAAGCCCAGGGCCTTGTGCATGCTAGGCAAGTGCTCTAATACTGAGCCATATACCCAGACCATTTTTTTTTTTTTTTTGACAATACTGGTGTTTGAACATAGGGCCTCACACTTGCTAGGAAATCACTGAGCTATATCCCTAGCCATCTTTATTTCATTTTGAGATAGTGTTTTGCTAAGTTGTCAAGACTGACCTTTAATTTGTGATCTTCTTGCCTCACTTTCCCAAGTGTCTGGGTTTATAGGCATGTACCACTGCACCTGACTTCTTTTTATCTTCTTGTGTTCCACCTCCTCTTCTGGCTTGCCTTTTTCAAATGTTCTGGTCTATTCTCCCTAACTGTTCTCTTTATGTTCTCTACTCCTTTCCCTCTAACCATTCTGTAATAGCATGGTGTGGTAGAGAGAATCTGGGCCTTGAAGTTAGACTTTGGTTCTCAATATGTATACTTTTTTTTGGTAGCAGATTGAACTCAGGGACACTCAACCACTAAGCCACATCCCCATCCCTATTTTGTATTTTATTTAGAGACAGGGTCTCACTGAGTTGCTTAGAGCCTGGCTTTTGCTGAGGCTGGCTTTGAACTCATGATACTCCTGTCTCAGCCTTCCCAGCTGCTGGGATTACAGGAGTATGCCACTGTGCTCAGCTATTTAACTTTCTTGAAATTTTTCTTCATCTAAAAATGGGGTTAATAATAGCTGGGTGTTGTGGTGCACATTTGTCATTCTTGTGACTTATGAGCTTGAGGCAAGAGGATCCTGAGTTCAAAGCCAGCTTCAGCAACTTAGTAAGGCCTTAAGCAGCTTAGTGAGACCCCCTTCTCAAAAACTAAAAAGGGGCTGGGGATGTGGCTCAATGGTTAAGTATCCTAGGTTATATCCCCAATACCAAAAAATAAAAATAAATAAATAAATAGATAAATAAAAATGGGGCTAATAATAGTAGATTTGCAGGATTGTTATGAGATGTATTAGTGGAAGCAACACTAAGGTATCTTATATTAACTATTGAACTCCCAGGTCTCAATGGTTTATTTCTTGTTTCTGTAACAATCCAATGTGGATTGGGCAACTCTTCTCCAGTGGTGATTCAGGAACCTGGGATGATTTCATTTTGTACCTCTGCTGTTTTGGAGTTCTTCAGTTGTCATTTGGATAGGAGAGAGCATGGGAAACTCAACAACTGAAAGTAACACATCACTTTGCACTTTCCTACAGGGTGAGAACTTTGTAACAAGATTCCCACCTAACTATTGAGTATCTATCATAAGCTGCTAGGCAAGTGCACTACTACTGAACTACATTTCTGGCCCAGTGATTGTCATTATTAATGTTAGAGAATAAAACAATCATTGTTCTCATTTGATAATATCGAACACTTGGGCCTATATTTTGTAATCTTATATCTCTTTTAGGCAATTGAATGCTGCTGGAAGAAATGTTTTTAAAGAGAATATTTGTCTCCAGAAAGCTCTCACATACCACCTGAAGGAAGCTGATGCTCTACAAAAAAACTCTGAGAAGTTGCAAGAGAATCATACTTTCCTTTTACATCAAAAGGTTCCCACTCTCATTTACACTGTTTCCTAGTTTGTTTTTTTTTAATGATTGAGTTGATGAATATCAAGAATTGACTAATTTAAGGATACAGAAGGACAATAGGACCATTTTTTTTTTTCTGTCTGGATGCTGCAGTTTCCTTATCTGAAAAGATGAATTAGTGAATTGTTGTAGGGACAGACATGGCAAGGCATTGAAGATAGCAAGAAACAGTTTTATTTGGCTGCAGCCAGGTTCAGAGGGCACAGCTTTTGCTATAATCAATTAATCCCCTGAACCCCAAGTTCAGGTAGTTTCAGAATCTTATACCCAGCATATAAGGGGAGAGGCTCAGAAGTTCACAGTCTGCAGAAGTTTATATAAAAGCAGCTTTTCCTTTCTCTGTTTTGGGCAAGTTAACTCTTCAAGGACAACCTCCGAGAAGGGGAGAGCTTTTTCTCCCCTTTCTTTCCTTCCCCTTCCAGCTGTTACCATGGATCCTAATTGGTATCTTCTCTTATTTTTAAAAAAATATTTATTCTTAAGTTTTAGGTGGATACAACATCTCCATTTTACATTTATGTGGTTCTGAGGATCGAACCCAGTGCCTTGTGCATGTTAGGCGAGTGCTCCACCACTGAGCCACAACCCCAGCCAAGTATCTTCTCTTATATTAGGAATATAGACATCTCTGTGAAGCCCAGCTCAAGGCCAGAGGCCTTTTTTGCACATTTCTATAAACTACTATACTGGATACATGTTTGTGAAAAACTAGTAATGGGGTGTCCAGCACCTGGAGTGTTGATTTCTTCCCTGTCAGTGGCCAAGTAAGATAGGGAAACATGAAAATAGAATGTTTATCTAAATTGAACTCTTTTGTATAGACTCTTTTGTTGACAGTCCTAAAATCAGCCATTGTGAAGATTTATGGAGAAGCCCAGTTAAGACTTTTCTGTGGAGAAAGGGGGTGCCACTACAGAATAATTTATAAGAAGCATTATACTTGACTTTATAAATATGACTCTTATCAGAAACATAAATATGATTCTTATTGCCTACTACCTTTAGAATATTCATTTTCCTTTGAGTATAGTTGATTCCTGAATCACCTAAGAATAAGTTTGACTGTAACGGACATGACATCTGTGGCATCACCACATGAGGACCCCTGATGGTAAGCAATCCAGAACAGGAATGGTAGTGCCACAAAATCAAAAGATATTTAGCTTCTTTAACTCTTCTCTGCAACATGTGGCTTATAGCCTCAAAGTTAACTCATGGCCAAGGTGGCTGCTGGAGCTCTAACCATTATTCTAAACAGAAGGAAGGGGAAGGACAACAAGAAAAAAAGTACCCTTTTAGATTTAGAGGTCTTCCTGGAAATCTCACACGTATTTCCACTTATATCTCATTGACCAGAATTTCAATATGCTGAACTACAAGGAAGGCTTGGATTTTCAGCTGGCTCTACTTCCTTCCTTAATAAAATTGGGGTTTTATTATTAAGGAGCAAAGAAAAATGGAAAATGAATACCAGAATAGGCAACTAGGAGACTACCACAAGTTCCATTACATAGCCATTAGTTTTGTTGATTTTATTTTTTTTAATTTATTTTTTAGTTATAGGTGGACACAGTATCTTTGTTTATTTTTATGTGGTGCTGAGGATCGAACCCAGTGCCTCATGCTTGATAGGCAAGCGCTCTACCTCTGAGCCACAACCTCAGCCCCTTATTGATTTAGATAATATAAAATATTTAACCTTTCAGAATTTTAGAGGAAGTTTGAAACTTCATAATCAGTAAAATCACATTTCCAGACAAGGGTCTTAGGGTGTTTGTTACTTTCTTTACACATAAATATTAAAATAATCCTTCTTACCCTTGTATCAAACTCAAATCTCATGAAATAATGGAAATTAGTTTGAAATGATTAAAGAACTCTCCCTTCTTTCATCTGTTTTTAGGAGATCAATGATCTATTGATTAAGGAAAAGATTTTGCAACTTACCCAGCAGAGAACACAAATCCAAGTTCTTCGAAAGAAGGTGGTAAACTTGGAGAAGGCTTTGAGTTTTATGACCAAAGAGTTTGAGACTGAAGTTTCAAAACTGCAGCAACAGGCAATTATAGAGAACCAAGCAGGTCGGGGGGAAATTGACAAGCTGCAACACCTTCTTCAGCTGAAAGACAAGGAAATGAATCGTGTGAAGAAGCTGGCCAAGAACATCCTGGATGAGAGAACAGAAGTGGAAAGATTCTTTTTAGATGCTCTACATCAAGTGAAGCAACAGATCTTACTCAGCAGAAAGCATTATAAGCAGATAGCACAAGATGCTTTCAATGTAAAAATGAGAAAGGCATATGCAGGAAAAACAGAATATCCTCTAATCAGGACATTTGATGGCAGAGAACACAGCACCAATAGTGTGAATCAGGATCTTATGGAGGCTGAAAAATGGTACTGATTAACACTTTTTATTATCTTTTGTACAGTCATTTTTTTTGCCCTTTGATGAAATAAGAACTCAGAAAAGTTTAGTTTGATAATCAATTAGAATAGATTTCTCAGCAAGTTACTTGAGTTGGGAATTGATTTACCTTTGCAATCCTTATTCAGCAGAGTATGAGGAGTTTAGTATGTATTCTTAGTAGGTACCCTATTTTTCTTTCTTTCTTTTTTTTTGGTGGGGGGTGTTCTGGAGATTGAACTTAGGGGCACTCTGGCCACTAAGCCACATCCCCAGCCCTATTTTGTATTTTATTTAGAGACCAGGTCTCACTGAGTTGCTTAGTGCCTTGCCATTGCTTATGGTGTCATTGAACTTGAAATCCTCCTGCCTCAGGCTCCTGAGCTTCTGGGATTATAGGTGTGCACCACTGTACCTGGACTCTTATTTTGTTAAAATTAGAAATTAGTTATAAAGGCTTCATTAGATTTAAGTTAAACATTTTTGATAAGCATAGGTTTCTCAGATATTTTGTATTACTTCCTTTGCTATCTTGAGATGAAAACAATAATATCTAACCATATAGATTTTTATTTTTATTTTTTGGTACTGGAGATTGAATCCAGGGGTGCTTTATACCAAGCTATATCACCAGCCCTTTTTATTTATCTATTTATTTATTTTTCGAGACAGGGTCTCACTAAGTTGCTTAGGGCCTTTCTCAGTTGCTAAGGCTGGCCTCAAACTTGCTGTCTTCCTGCCTTAGCTTCCGTAGTTGCTGAGATTGTAGGCAGCCCATGCTATCTTCAAACTTGTGATCCTTCTGCTTCAGTCTACCCAGTAGCTGGGATTACAGATGTGTACCACCATACCCAGCCAGTCCCCTACAATTAATTTTGAAGTGACTAATTTGTAGGTGTTTTTTAATTTTGTAGCTATTGGGAAGATTGGATGTGCCAGTGGCCTCTGGAAGCTTCTGAAAAGATGATGATACTTTAAAAAAAACATATATACTAATATTATAATGTATTATCTTATTGTCACATTCAGAATGCCACTTTTAATACAAAGCAATTGACTATAATTGTTCCTTTTTTATTTAATAAGTAACTTGAATCTCTACTGTACATAAGGCAGTTTCCCATACACCTTTTTTCTACTGTATACTGTTATAAAATTTCAGAGGAGGTTAAACGATTCCCCACATTGTTATTGCAGAAACTGTGCTTTTCCTTTTCTGCCTTCGGTGTAATATTTTTGCTACTGGGCAACTTATCACCTCTACCAGCATGGCTGAAGTGGTGTTTAAAATATTGCATCATCAGGGGGCTGGAAGTGTAGCTCAGTGGTAAAGCATGTGCAGAACATGTTCAAGGCCCTGGCTTCAATCTGCAGCAACTATTTAAGAGGCAGATTGGAAGGACAACTGAAGTATACGGTAATCAGAAGGTAAAACCTAAAACTTTCAGGGCTGTGGGTATAGTTCAGTGGTAGAGCACTTGCCTAGCATGAGGGAGGCTCTGGGTTTGATCTTCAGCATTGCATAAAAATAGATAAATAAAATAAAGGCATTGTGTCTGTCTACACTAAAAAAATTTTATATTAAAAAAACCCCTAAACTTTCAGGTTTTGCTCTCATGTACACCTATAAATCCAGCTATTTGAGAGACTAAGGTAGGAATACTGCAAGTTCAAGGCTAGCCTGGACAACTTAGTGAGACCCTAAAATAAAAAAAGATAAAAAATTTTTTAGCTGGGTGTGGTGATGCATACCTGTAATCTCAGCAGCTAGGGAAGCTGAGGCTTTTAAGGCTAGCCTCAGCAACTGAGTCCTTAAGCAATTTTTTTTTTTTTTTTTTTTTTTGGTACTGGGGATTGAATTCAGGGACACTCAAACCCTGAGCCACAACCCCAGCCCTAATTTTTGTATTTTAGAGACAGGGTCTCACTGAGTTGCTAAGCACCTTGCTGTTGCTGAGGCTGGCTTTGAACTCTTGATTCTCCTGACTCAGTCTCCCGAGCTGCTGGAATTACAGGTGTGCGCCCAGTAGCCCTAAGCAATTTAGTGAGACCCTGTCTCAAAACAAAAAATCAAAAGGGCTGGGAATGTAGCTCACTGGTAAAGCATCTCTGGGTTCAATCCCCAGCACAAAAAATAAATTTAAAAACTTTTTAGCTCAAGATAAAAAAATTAAAAAGGATGGAGGTATAACTTAGAGATATGGCACCCCTGGGTTCAATCCCTAATACTGCAGAACAAAAAAAAAAAAAAAAAAAAAGGAAAAACAAAACATCAACAACAACAAACTAATCCCTCTGACTTAAATGTAAAATATTTCCTGAATCATACAACATAAATACACATTAGCTTTTACAAATAGCAAGTAGACTGGAAAAGTTATAGTATAGATAAAGACCTGCCTGAAAAGCTTAGCTGCATCCTTATTTAGAGGTAAAGAAAAATAGATTATAATTTAATTTCCATGTTATTTTCCAGATTTACTTTTTATCACTCTGTTTTCTCAGTTAGGTTTTTTTTTTTAAAGAAATGTTAAAAAAATACCTATCAATAATCTCAACAAATAACTTTTTTCTTGTTCCCTTTGTCTTTGAAGTATATATAAATACAGAATGCTATATTACAACATTCTATTTTGCTTATTTGCTTAATGTTTGAGTACAAATCTTTTTCATGTTGTTATAGTTCTTGTCATTTTCATCTTAATGACTACATAACATTTTGGGTTGTCTACTATATTAATAACCTTTTCAATTTTGTGATTTTTGTAATGGATATAGTTTATAGTCATTATATAGTATTCAGTTATGGTATGGATTTTTTCTTACGTTTACATATTTTTTAAATTTATTTTTTAGTTGTAGTTGGACACAATACCTTCATTTATTTATTTTTATATGGTGCTGAGGATCGAACCCAGGGCCTCACATGTGCTAGGCGAGTGCTCTATGGCTGAGCCACAAACTCAGCCCCATACTTCATATTTTTTAACAAGAAAAGATGTTTACTTTGACTACATTTTTCCTTTTCACTTTTTTTTCCCTTTGAATTCTTTAGGACAAGTACTGAAAGAAATGTGGATATTGCAGATTTGACCTGGGAGCAGAAGGAAAAAGTCTTGAGATTGCTCTTTGCAAAAATGAATGGTTTTATTCCTAGGTAATTTCCTACTTCTACAGTGAAATACCAGTGTTATTGAACTTAGAAACCACATAGGAACAATGAATTTATTCTTAGAATTAAAAGGAATACATAGCTGGGCGTAGTGATGCATGCCTGTAATCCCAGTGACTCAGGAGGCTGAGGCAGGATGATCGATAGTTCAAAGCCAGCCTCAGCAACTTAGCAAGGCCCTAAGCAATTCAGTGAGAGCCTGTCTCTAAATAAAATACAAAAAAGGGCTGGGGCTGGGACTCAGTAATTAAGCGCTCTTGAGTTCAATTCCAGGTCCTCCCCCCGCCCCCCAAAAAATTAAGGACTAGAAAAACTAAAAGGGCTAAAAGGGTTCTACTGCTTAGCTACTGTAACTCTAAGAGATAAGGAATAGGAATGAGGAGACATGAAGACAAAAGATGACTTGGAATTAAAGGGGGAAAATTATCTTAGATATTTAGGATGATGTTTACCATAATGCTTGCTAAGTTACATTGCTCAACTAAATGTATAGCATCTTCAGAAAAGCATAGAAACTGTTTAGGTTTTATTGGTTTTTAAAAATAAGTAAATAATTTAAAGGTGATTATTCATCAAGGGACTCTCTAATATAAGAGATACAGAAGGGAAAACAGAAATCCACAGGTATTCCAATAATCCCTTTTTTATGTATTTTTTTTAGTTGTAGATGGACACAATACCTTTATTTTATTTATTTTTTTTAATGTGGTGCTGAGGATCGAACCCAGTACCTCACACATGTGAGGCAAGTGCTCTACCACTAAGCCACAGACCCAAGCCCCTCCAATAATTCCTTTTGATGATTAGTTTCTCCACTGTGTTTTATCCACTGTTTTTGTGGTATTGGGTTCAATCCTCAGTACCACAAAAACAAAACAAAACAAAACCAGAAAGCCAGTTTGAGATAAAGTTTTAAATTTTATTTAATCTATCTCTTAATTCACCTAACTTATACATATTGAGTACATGCTATTTATTGAGGATATAGTGTTGAACAGGTAAGGACATCACACCTAATCTCAATGACTTTATGCTCTATATGGGAGAATAAAGGCTTGAGCTGATTTTTTTTTTGGGGGGGGTAACCAAGGATTGAACCCAGGGGTGTTTACCACTGAGCCACAGATCCTCCCCAGCCCTTTATGTTTTTATTTATTTATTTTGAGACAGGGTATCACTAAATTGCTTAGGGCCTCACTAGCTTGCTAAGGCTGGCCTTGAACTTGCACTCCTCCTGTCTCAGCCTCCTGAGTCCCTAGAATTATAGGTGCAACACTTTACTCAGCTAAGTTAACTTTTTCCTATTCAAGAAATATAGCTAGAGATCTAGGCCTCTAGTTCCATACTATATGTTATTTTCAGCCTTGGAGAAACAAAGGAATTAGAGTAAAAGAGTTCAAACCCAAGCAATGAACTTGAACCTGACTCATAATGGAAGTAAGTTTAAGCCTGTTGAAACTTCATGACAGCATTAGATAAAAGAACAATAAGACAGGAATAGATGGTAGAATGTTGAAAAGATTGAGAAAACTCAAACCAGATGGGGGAGTAGTTAGATGATAAAAGGTCTACCAAGGCAAGTGGAATGATTATGAAGTTGGTTAAGAGTTCATAGTTGATAGTAGTACATGGTTGTGAATCCAACAGTACAGTACATTTATTTGTGATTGATCTTAGTGGGGATAATCAATAACTGGCTACAATAAATCAATGCATTAGTAACTACTTAGGTCTTTAGATACTTTAGTGTCTAAAGTATTCTTTCACATATTACCATTAGACTATTTAGTCAGATTTTCAGTGTTTTATGCTGCTTTCAAAGGCATCTAATTGAAAACAAGTTTTAGGAATGGGGTATGTATCTGTTGAGATATCAATGTACCATCCTTTTTGTTTCTATTAAACTCACTTAAATTAGAAAATTTGTGATATATTTATTCCTGTTCTAAAACTCAAAATTTAAAACTTTCCAAAATTTAAAGAAAAAAAATTTCTTACTGGGCCTATCTCCCCACTGAATAATCTTTCTGTGGTCTGAATTTCTCTTTGTGAAAGGGAATTTTTCTGGACATTTTTGTTGGTACTCTGGTTCAAACTTGTCCTTTTCCACTATTAGCTGTTGTATAGGGCTGGGGTATAGTTTCAGTGGTAGAGCACTTGCCTAGCATGCATGAAGCCCTAGGTTCAATTTCCCACTGTTCCCCTCCCCAAACTAACTCTTGTATGAGTACCTTCATTATGATCATCTCCATAAATATTTCCATTTCTCAAATTCACCTCAACTTTCAAACAAATATATTAGTTTGCCTAACACGTTTTATGTGTGTAAAAATTCATTTTGAAAATAAGAAGTCCATCCAATTGAAGTATTTCACTTGTCTCTTAATAGTTGAAATATAAGGATACAAGGAGACACTGTCTCATTGTTTGTTGAATTTTACTCACCACAGGAAATACAACCAGTCTTCTAGGACTTCAGTTCCAGATTTCTTTGTTTCTGACAGTAGAGAATTGAAAGGATTTGGGTAAGATCTCTCCTGACAATGTCTCAAATGTGAGCCAGATCACAATGGCTCTTGCGGGCATTTGACATTACTCAAGTTGAGTGAGAATAATATGATGAAGTTGCTGTTCTGAACCACATCCCAGGTATGGATATTGGCAGTACTCATTATTTTGTCATTATTACAGGGATGAAAGTAAACTTCAAGATCAAACCTTTATCACCCAGCAAGTTGAAGTATCAGACTCTAGTGAAATGACATCATCCAATACAAAAGGATCTCAGGAGTCCAAGAAAGTAAGGAGTCTGTAATCTAATTGAGTGATACATACAGCTATTACCTTTCCCCATGCAGCTTCTTGCTAACCCTTAGTTGTTTTCTCTACTGGCTATCTAGGAGCTTTCAGGGATCAGTGAAATGAATAACAAATAGCACTAGTATGAGATACTAGAAATTTTTATAATAATCACACTAACGCTGGAAATACAAAATACAAATGGATATGTATCTCTTTTAGTGTAGAAAACCTGTAGATTACCTTTGAAATAAGTAGCCTACTGGTGTGGTGGCATACTCCTGTAATCCCAGTGTCTAGGAGGTTGAAGCAGAAAGATCAAAGTTCAAGGCCAGCCTCAGAAACTTAGTGAGGCCCTAAGCAACTTAGTGTGAGACACCTGTCTCAAAATAAAAAATAAAAAGATCTGGAGATGTAGCTCAGTAGCAAAGCACCCCTGCCAGTACCAAAAAAAAAAAAAAAAAAAAAAGGAAAAGAGCAGTATAGTCAAAATGTATACTATCTGTTATATAAACACAAACATAATGACATTACTCTTAACTTTGGACATAGGGTGAGAAGTCTATGTCCAAGTCACTACAACCTAGGGGACAAAAGCATTATAAGGAATTATGGCACCATTAAAAGAAAAAAGACAGATTTCTTTCTTTTTAGGAGCTTTTTATTTGTAATTTGTTATGAATAATCAATTAGCAGAATGTACAATCTGAGAAAGTTCAAATGAAGCCATATCAGATCAAAAAAGAGAAAAATATTGAATTCTTTAGTTGCTACTAACATGAACACAACTGTACACTTTTGAATAGCAAGTAGTTAGCCAAATGAGTTTATTCCAATGAGAGCAACACAATTCTGATTAGTCAGTATTTTTTAAAAAGTGATTTTCCTTAAATGTAAGGAAAATGTTAGGAATCTTCGTGGTTATGTTTAATTCCACTTGGAATTTAGGCAATAATAAATTTTTATTCAACCCAGTCTGAAGTTGTTGGATTGTATTAAATATCAGCTGTGTTTTATAAGACAGAAAACAAGGGGCAATTGTATTCTCAAACTATAAATTTCTATTGCCTCACTTGTAGGGAGGCAGAAAAAACAAACAAAAACCCAGAGTAAGGTTCCAAGTGTATTTTGTTTCAGTCACCTTAAATTATTGAAGGTTCTGACATTCTATCCATGCACAACATTTTCAAAGTACTTCACACTCCATAACTCCCCATGGAGTAGGGTAGCACTAAATGACTTATGGAGAAACAGAAAAATAAATGATACCATCTGGCTAAGGGATTATGCCATCAGAGCCAGAAGTCTTCCCCTAGTTCAGAGAGCACATTAACTTCAATTCTAATTTCAAGATTAGATATAGTGGCACATGCCTGTTGGACTCAGGAGGACAAGACAGGAGGATTGCAAGTTTAAGCCAAGCCCCCCAAATTTAACAAGACCCTCAGCAACTTAGTAAGACCCTGTCTCAAAATCAAAACTAAAAAGGACTGGGGATGTAGCTCAGTGGTAAAGTATCGCTAGGTTCAATCCCATCTGCCACCAAAAAAAACAAAAAGACATATCAAAGAAACAAAGGTTAAAGGCAGCTGAATTAACCGAAGACTGTCAAAGCATTTCTTCTTCACTATTTTAAGTAATGAAAAATTTAGAAATTTATTAGGCCCTAATCAATCACATGAGGAGTTCTCTCAGTAAAAAGTATCACTAATGAGAAATCCAGGCAAAAAGAAAGAGTAATATATAAAATTTGGTAAGCCAGGTATGGTGGCTGGCACATGCCTGTAATTCCAGTGACTCAGGAGGCTGAGGCAGGAGGATTGCAAGCTCAAAGCCAGCCTCACTAACCTAGTAAGGTGCTAAGCAACTTAGTAAGACCTTGTCTCAAAATAAAAAATAAAAATACCGGGGACATGGTTCAGTGGTTAAGCACCCCTGTGTTTAATGTTTGGTACCAATAAAATAAAATATATTTTTTTAAAAAATTGGCAAATAATAGAATATATGACTTGTTTAAGGCAAGAATCTAACATGGTTTTGTGGGTGGAACCCTCCTTGATTTCTGGGTCTAAAATAACTTTTGAAAGAATTTTCTAAGAAAATTATTGCATCTGAATTAATGACTGAAGTACTGATAAATGATTGAAGTAACTCTGACAATTAACATTTGGCACATAAAACATTGATTTATCCATTGTACACTGAGGTATTCTTGAGATTTGATTTTAAGAAGCAGGAACCAGAACAATTATAGAATTAGTGGTCATGAATCACAGGGACAACAAAGTGGCATTGAGCAGAAAAGAAAGCAGTGATCACATTGTTAGGATAAATAGAAATGGATTATACCTATGTAGTGAGGGAATGGGCAAGCAGCTCAGGAAATCTTGGCAGAGGGGTTTTGCCCACTGGCACTGATGAAGGGCTGTGTTTAAAGCTCCACAAGAGGTTCATGAACTAGTTCTGTCCTGTTTTCTCATCCAAGGGTTCTTCACTGACCTTACCCTCCTTCGGGTCATTAAGAAAAGAGGAAAAGGTTTTAGAAAACAGAAAACTAAGCTCTTATTCCAGATAGCATTATAGTTACAAGAGTTGCCTTCAAAGCAGAAATAAGAAGAGCAAGTTAGTGTTACACTAGGGGTCTCCCAACAGCAAATTTGAAGGGGCCAAGAGTCCTGAGAAAGAGTTGAACAACAACATATTCTAATCCCAAGCATCTGATCTGAGCAAAGTTGACAAATGAAGTCGGTCAAGAGTGAAGGGAGATTTCTCAGGACAACTGAGTCTTAGAGAAACTTAGTTCTAACGGCCCATGGTAGGCATGACTACAGCAGGTGAGGAAAGAGTAGCATCTTCTTCTTTCCATTGAGAAGTGATGGTCTTTAGCTGAGTGTAGAACTGGATGCCCTAAAGACAGCAAAGAAAATGACGAAAGAGAGTTAACATATACTTCTGGTGGAGAAAGTCATGATTCTTCTTTGAAAGGACTTTTCAAGGTTGTTCTTTGAGTGCTACTCGTGTTCCTATTTGAGCAACAGGTGCAACCAAAATCCAATGTGTTGTTTATGAGATAATTTAAAAAATAATACAATATTGGACACAAGAGTAAATAGTTCATCCTTAGCCATTATTACTATGCTGAAATTAGAATTTATAAGCTAAGAGTGTCTAAATGGAAAAATAGGACATGTAATCTGTTAAACTTGCAGGTCATTCTATTATATTTTTCTTTTTCTTTTTTTTTTTTTAATTCTGATGCGCTGGGAATTGAACCCAGGGCCTCATATGTGCTAGACACGTGCTCTGCCACTGAGCCAGATCCCTAGCCCCTTGCAGATCCTTCTGTTGCAGAGCTGAATAACATGTGCCCATGTCAATAGATTTAACTCAAATCATGCCTCTACCCTTATTTTTTGTTATTTGTTTGTTTACTTTGCAGTACTGGAGATTAAACCCAGGGGTATTCTACTGCTGGTCTCCATTCCTGCCCCCTTTTTGAGACAGGGTCTCACTAAATTGCCAGGCTGGCCTCAAATTTTCAATCCTCCTACCTCAGCCTCCTGAGTTGCTGGGATTATAGGTGTGTTCTAATGCACTGTCCTGCATGACCCTTACTAACTGTAGCTTGACCTTGAGTCTGATTGACTTAACATGCACACTATAGCAATGTTGTAAGGAGAAAATGAATGACATACAAAAATATTGTAGCAAAGTTACTACTGCTCAACAATTGTTAGTCATTCTTTCCTTCCCATGAAAAAGAAGAAGGAATAGAGTAGGAAATATATGTTAGGCCATTTCTGATAACTGTGTGATAATGAGCTTTCTATTGTAGAGACAACAGAGTTTCTGTAGCAAATCAATGGTTTAACAAGAAAAGAAACATTGCAAGGAGGGAGAGGCCAAGGAGAAGCTGCTTTAGATTAAATAAAGAGACGTAAGAAGTTAAAAATGAGAGGGGTGGGGAGGGGGGAATATATTGTGCAGATATAACACTTATAAAATTATTAGCAAACTAGAAAGATGGAAAAAAACTTCCTTGATTGAAATGCTCTTATAGAATTATTTGACAAAATCTGGGCCATTTTTTTTAATACTCTTTTTTAAAAAATACCTTTATTGGGCTGGGGTTGTGGCTCAGCGGTAGAGCACTCACCTGGCACACTTGAGGCCCTGGGTTTGATCCTCAGCACCACATAAAAACAAATAAACAAAATAAACGTATTGTGTACAACTAAAAAATAAATATTAAAAATATAAAAATAAATAATAAAAATAAAATAAAAATACCTTTATTTATGTATTTTTAAGTGGTGCTTAGGATCGAATCTAGCATGCCTCGCACGTGCTAGGCAAGTGTGCTATTGCTGAGCCACAACCCTAGCCCCAATCTGGGCCATTTTAATATGTTGAAAACAAATTTCAATATAAAGATACAACCCTTTTTTTTTTTTTTTTTGGTACCATGGATTGAACCCAGGAAGCTTAACCACTGAACAATATCCCCAGCCCTCTTTATTTGTAAATTTGGAGACAGGGCCGTGCTAAGTTATTTAGGTCCTTGCTAAGTTGCAAAAGCTGGCTTTGAATTTGTGATCCTCCTACCTCAGCTTTCTGAGTTGCTGGAACTACAGGTATGTACCATCACACCCAGCAAACATACAACTAATTTTTACAATTTCCTTTTTGTTTTTGAGACAAGGTCTTGCTCTATTGCTGAGACTAGTTTCAAACTCCTGGGCTTAAGTGAGCCTCTTGCCTCAGATTCCCAAGTAGCTGGGACTACAGACATGTGCTACCATGCAAAGTTTGACTTTCATATTTTATTATGTAAAGTAATACTTTCATATCTTCTTTCCAAAATGCCAAGTAGCATTTAATAACATAAAGATTTAAGAATTCAACCATGTATTCATTTTTTTCCTCCAAAGAAGCCTATCTTACCCCAGCGTATTTATAGTAATTAAACCAAGATGGCAGTTTGTGGGAGGAAAAAAACTATTTTTTAAAAATATTTTTGGTTGTAGATGGACACAATATATTTTATTTTTATGTGGTGCTGAGGATCCAACCCAGTGCCTCACATGTGCGAGGGAAGCAATCTACCACTGGGCTACAATCCCAGATTGAGAAAAAAAAACTATAGTTTTACCGCTTCCCTTATAAGAAATGCTTGTTACTAGTATCAAACTACAGATGGTCTATGATTTGCTATTTTTCCATATTAAGATGGTGCAAAAGCAATGTGTTTTCAATAGAAATTGTACTTCAAATTTTGATCCCTTTTTGGGCTGCAATAAGCAATATGAATTATCAGCCCCAAGCCCATGAGGGTTGAATATTCTGTTGTTTTAACTATGATGTTCAGTAGATTAGGTGTATGATATTTTTAACTTACGATGGGTTTATTGGGATGTAATCCTATCATAAGTTGAGGAGTGTCTATAGACACTTATGTAAGGTAATACTTTCTTAACTAGTTAGCCGTATCTTAAGCATATAGCCATAACTATCATATCTATTGGATAATGTTTAATTAATTTTAAATTTTAAATTATTAGACAGGGTCTCATTAAGTTGCCCTGTCCTTGAACTTGCAATCCTCCTACCTCAGCCTCATAAATCACTGGGATTACAGGTGTGTACCACCATGCCTGGCTTCCAAAAAGAAATCACCTCTAATCACCATTATCCCTTTCTTTGATGCTAGGTAGTATGCCTCATGTGTTTCCATTGCACATTGAAAAGTGTTTGATACAAAGAAGGTATTTTTTGTGTGTGTGTGTTTGGTGCTGGAGGTTGAACCCAAGTCTTTGTGCATGCTAGGTAAATACTCTACCACTGAGCTATGCCCCAGCCCTGAATAAAATTTTTGATACATAAACAATTATTACAGGAAAAATATGTGCAATGGGAACACATGAGGCATACTACCTAGCATCAAAGAAGGGGATGATGAAGATTAGAAGTGATTTATTTCTAGAAGAATAGCAGAGAAAATGGCAAATACAAAGGCCTGGACTTGCCAGGCATGGTTGTGAATGCCTGTAATCCCAGCTACTCAGGAGGCCGAGGCAAGGAGGATTGCAAGTTCAAGGCCAGGGCAACTTAATGAGATCCTGTCTCAAAAAAATAGGCTGGGGATATAGTTCAGTGGTAAAGCACCTCTGGGTTCAATCCCTAGTACTACAAAAACAAAAATAAACAAAACAAGACAAAACAAAACCCACCAAAACAAAGGCCTAGACTTCCTCATGCTGTTTTCCCCCAACTTTTTTGCCTTAAGTTGTTCAAGAATAAGCAACTTTGTTAACGTTTCATTAACTTTTTAAAATTTTTTTATTCTTTTTTAGTTATACATGACAGTATAAACCATTTTGATATATTTACACAAGCCTGGAATATATTCTAATTAGGATCCCAGTCTTATGGATGTACACACGATGGTGAAATTCACTGGGGTGTGTTCATATATGTACATAGGAATGTTATGTCAGATTCATTCCACTGTCTTTCCCATTCCTATCCCACCTCCTTTCCCTTCATTTCACTTTGTCTAATCCATTGAACTTCTACTCTTTCCCTCCCTACCCTTATTAATTCTTTTCTAGGGGACTATCTGAGAAATACTTCAGAACAACATGTGACCTCACAGAAGCTGCTGGCATGTCCTTCTCTGCAGAATCCTTGTTTCTGAATATGTTTAAGAAAATTTCTTAAAGGAAAAAAATTTGACTCAAAAGTTACCTGTTTGCCATAGAAATTGGTGTCTCCCCTGAAAGATGATCGAGAACCAGTGAATGAGAACATTGGCAAAGGCACTGGAATAGGGACATTCACTCCCACCTAAAAGCAGAACAAATCTACATCAAATACTAAGCAAAGAACTCAAACTATAGACTCTCTATTTAGAAGCATAAAAACAAAGACGGATTTATTTTTCTTTTTTAAAAAATCAATTTATATTTTATGGGGTTTTTTTTGGGGGGGAGTGGGTGGTATTTATTTTTTTGAGAGACCATTTTAAATTGCTAGCTTCCATCCCATTCTTCACTCTATGAACTTTTATTACTGAGGAAGAAATGGAGCATTGTGGAAGATTAAAGGGACAACCTTTATAGAAGCTGCAATGACTGATCACTGTCTACTGTCTCCTCTTAGGAATCCCTAAGAGCTGTGAGAATCTACAAACCTGTCCCACATCGACCAGGTGGGAATATTTCCGAGCAGTGGCTCCATTGGTGGTGAAGATGGCAGTTCCATTTCCATAAGGGTTGTCGTTTACGATCTTGATGGCTTCATCTAATGTTTCTGTCTCCAGAACCACAAGAACTGGACCAAAAATCTCTTCTTTGTAACAGGTCATATTTGGCTGTCAGGAATGATCAATCCAGAAAAGAAGTGAGCTCTTTGGATTCTATGTATTTTATACTCAACCTGGTAATTTTACTTACTACCCACTAGTTTACGTAGAATTCTTTCATGTTAGCAATCTCTTTCCATTTTTAAATTACTTATTAAAAACTCTGTTCCATCTTCCAAACTATCAACATATAGACAACCTGAAATTCCTATTAATTATAACCACACTCTGTACTTTTAGTTCCCACAACTCATCACTAGCTTCCTTTGTAATAGCTGTACAACTTGTTTCATACAATTGTTATGTTACCAAAAAGTTACATGAAAATTTTTTTATAAATCAAATATATATAAAATATCAGATTATTTTGTTTACAGAAAGCCTGTGCTAAGTTCTCTGAAACAAAAACACTCCATTCCCACTTATCCTTTACCTCCAAAATTTAACTATGTACATTTATATTTTGATATTGTGTCATATATAAAAACACCTAAAACAACCTTCACCACTACACCTAATCAGCTGTGTTTATTGTTGATAAGTGGGTTTTTCTTCTATCATTCTGTGGCAAGAGACTTCATAGTTTCTACCACACTTACATTCAATTCTTGGTTATTTAGGATTGTAATGACAATATGTGAATTTCAAAAAAGGTTCCTAACTTCACTTTAGTCATGAATGTCAGCTGAGAGACTTTCAGAGTTTTGATAAATAAAAACTGACAGACCACTTCTTTTTGACTTTCTCGTGAAGATGTAGCTAAATTTTGGGCCCAGAGTAGTTATACCCAATTGAGTAGTCGATACAGAGATTGAGACATTGCAATAGCTATGAGGTAGGTTGCAAGAAGGAAGAGAAAAGTTACACTAAATAAGGAACCAGTATAGTATAAGACAAGGGTTGACAAACAAGTACCTGTGGGCCAAATATAGATACTATCTGTTTTTGTATAGGTCATAAGCTAAGAATGGTTTCTACTTTTTTTTTTTTGAATTGGGGATTGAACTCAGGGGCACTCAACCATGGAGTCACATGCTCAGCCCTATTTTGTATTTTATTTAGAGATAGGGTCTCACTGAGTTGCTTAGTACCTCACCGTTGCTGAGGCTGGCTCTAAACTCACAATCTTCCTGAGCTGCTGGGATTACAGCAAACACCACCGTGCCCAGCTCTACATTTTTAAATGGTTGAAAAAAAATCAAAAGACTACTTCATGACATGTAAAATGATACAAAATTCAAATGTATGTCCATAAATAAAGTTTTATTGGAATACAGCCACATAATGCTGATTTCCCATTACAAGTCAGAATTGAGTAATTGTGACAGAGATTATATATTTCTGAAAAGCTGAAAATATCTAGCTCTTCATGGAAAGTGGCCTGGATGGGGCTCAGGAGAGGAGACTCCAAATTAAAATAAGTGAACAATCCCGGCCAGACTTGAGGTCTTAATCATTAAATGTCTTCATTTATAAACCAGAAGGAAAGCTTCCATAGCCTCTAAGATTCCTTCAGCTTTCATATTTGTGAAATGATTGAGTTGTTCACCTTGACATTTGAGATGATGGTTGGTCCAACAAAGTTACCATTTTCATAACCTTTCACTTTAATTTTTCGCCCATCCAGAAGGATGGAAGCTCCCTCCTTTGTTCCACTATCAATCAGATTACAGACTCGCTCTTTGGCCTGGGGAGTGATCAGAGGGCCAAGATCAGCTCCAGGCTGGTCTCCTGTAAAACAACACATAAGTATCTAAGGACTTCATTAACATAAATTATGATTGCTAGTAATGTATGAATCTGAATGACAAATACATATAAAGAGAGGCAATGGTAAGACTAGAAGACTGCTTCCCTTTGTCAAAGCCAATGCTAAGATATAGTGTCAAAGATACAAAATCTAAAGTTGCTGGGCAGATAGGTGATTACCTGCATTGACCCTCAGCTTTTTGGCACGCTCCACCAGCTCTGGAAGCCACTTCTTAGCCTCTCCCACAAGGATTGCTGTTGAAAGAGCCATGCAGCGCTGACCAGCAGCTCCGAATGCTGCTCCAACCAGCTGGTTCAGAGTATTTTCCTTGTTGGCATCTGGCATGACTACCCCATGGTTTTTGGCTCCCTAAAGAAACACGGATTGTGCATCAATCTTCCTTAGTCAAATACAATTAAGCTAAGAATGAGAATTTAAGGGAAGGATTAGAGAATTCATTCTTTGTTGCTTTGAGGACAAAGAGGTTATTTTTAATACTGCTTAAATTTTAGCAACATCAAGCAGGTCTCCAGATTTTTTCCCTCACTTTCCAGTTGATAAGCTGCTATATATTTAGCTTAAAACCATTACCAAGGCAAAAAAGCCCCAATCACACTCAAACCAACAGGTTAAAAACTGCAACCAGGAACCAAGGAAAATGTTGTTTTCTAACTTAGGTAGGAAGCAATTTGTTGTCTGCTGAGGTTTCCAGTTAAATTAAGAGTAATGTAAACAAAGAGCTGCCAGTAATAATAATGCCAGTAATCAGCCAGGCTGCACATGTCTGTAATCCCAGTGACTTGGTAGGTTGAGGCAGGAGGATTGCCAAGTTGAAGTCAGTCTTGTCAACTTAGCAAGACCCTCAGCAAATAAAAAATATAAAGGACTGGGAATTAAGTTTAGTGGTAAAGCACTATAGGTTTAATTTCCTGTACCAAAAATAATTAAAAATGCCAGTAAACAGCTAAGGGTCAAATTCAGACCTCAGGCTGGGGATGTGGCTCAAGCGATAGCACGCTCGCCTGGCATGCGCAGGGTGCTGGGTTCGATCCTCAGCACCACATAAAAATAAAGATGTTGTGTCCACCGAAAACTAAAAAATAAATATTAAAAAATTCTCAGGGCTGGGGATGTGGCTCAAGTGGTAGCACGCTCGCCTGGCATGCGTGCGGCCCGGGTTCGATCTTCAGCACCACATACAAACAAAGATGTTGTGTCTGCCAAAAACTAAAAAAAAAAAAAAAAAATTTTAAAAAAAAATCTCTCTCTCTCAAAAAACTTTATATAAAAAAAATTATCTCTCTAAAAAAAAAATCAGACCTCCTAAAACATAACATCTAGAAAGAGGTTCCTCAAATTGGCTTGCTTCTAGACTTCTATACATATAACTACATATATATCTTCTATGTAGCCTGACATATAATCATTTTCACATCTCTAGATACAACTATAGTTGAGTGTATGGGTATATACCATGTCTACTACTTAATTTAATCCTATTATACATAATGTTGAACACAGAATACATGCAATAAATATGGAGTGAACTAGGAGGGGCTTAAGTCAAATTGGACAAAACATTCAGCCATGAAAAATAAGTGGCAATTATCTTTTTTTCACATTAGTTGAAGGAAGGGTGGGCAAGATGCAATAGGACTAGTATTAAAGAGTTGCTAAGCATTTGGCAAAGAACTAGTAAGAGTAAAGTAAAAATTAAAGCATGTCACGTATCATATGGGGATATTTGGTTCTTTTTGGTGCCTTGAATTACTAGTTAGTATGTACCTTAAAAGAAGGAAGGATTAAGGGCTAGAAGCATGGTGTAAAGAAAGGAAGAAATAGAGCCAGAACCAGAATCAGGCTGTTACTGCTGAAAGCCTAAAGAATATGAATAACATTCTTAGGAAGAAATATGTCCCTTGTCATCAAAATAGTTGTATATGATAAAGGTGGTCAACATGATCAATACTCTTCACAAGGTTCACGGTTAAGAAGACATTCAGGATTAAATGGTAATTAAGAAACACTGGCATTAGTGGGAAGAGTGGTCTTGCTGTTGAAGTGCTGTTCTTAGATAATTTATAAACATATAACAAAGTTCAGGAGAAAAAAAGAATAAAAAGTCACCATGTTGGCTTGAACCCTCTTTCCATGTCTTGATCCTCTTTCAAAGATATACTCTCCTGCCTGGTTGGATCCCACAAAGCTGATTGCTTTGATGTCCGGATGATCACAAATAAAATTTACAGCTTGGAGAAGAAAAAAATGGTCACCAAAAAGAACAAGGGCCATAGGCTTCTCAACGTGGCAAATCTCCCCTTTACCCACTGGTTAAACATTCTCATAATTGTTTTTTCTACACTCAATTGCCATTGTGAAGTTCTCTTTTGTTCCCTTAAATTCTTTTATTTATTTTTTATTTGTTCTAATTAGTTATACATGACAGTGGTATGCATTTTTACATATCATACATAAATGGAGTATAACTTCTCATTCTTCTGGTTGTACCTGATGCAGAGTTTCACAGGTTGTGTAATCATATATGTCACTTAAATTCTTTACAAATTCTATTTAGCCTCTACCCTTTCAGCATATTTTTTCATTTATTCCAGAATTCTTGTTTCTAGTCTAATCTGAAGGCTACAATTCCTATTTTTCTCTAAAACAACAGCCTTTCACAACTAGACACTTCCATTTTTTTTTCTTTAAATATGTGATAATGGGGGATGGGGTTGTGGCTCAGTGGTAGAGCACTTGTCTTTGCATGTGTGAGGCACTGAGTTCAATCCTCACCACCACATAAAAATAAATAAAATAAAGGTATTGTGTCCATCTACAACTAAAATATATATATATTTTTAAAAATGTGATATGTCCTCAACTGAGTATGATGGTGCATGCCTATCATCCCAGTGACTCAGGAGGCTAAGGCAGGAGGATCCCAAGTCTGAAGTCATCTTCAGCAATTTAGTAAACCCTGAGCAACTCAGTAAGATCCTATTTCAAAATCAAAAATAAAAAGGGCTGGGGTTATAGCTCAGTGGTAAAGCACTCCTGTGTTCAATCCCCAGAATTAAAAACAATAAGAATATGATATGTCCTCAACTGCTACTATATAGAGACTCTCAGAAACTATTGTGCTATCTAACACAAGAGGTGATATGGCATTAGTATTTAAAAGCAAGAAGCAGAGTCAGCCTTAGGATACATACTCTAACATAATTTGTTGCAGTGTAACTTTGGGCAAATTACTTAATTTCACTCTGCCTCAATTTTCTCATCTGTAAAATGGAAAAATAATACTGCCTCAAAGGGTTGTTATGAAGATTAAATGAGTAAATAAACTTTCTCTGTCTAGGGGCTGGGGTTGTGACTCAGTGGTAGAGTGCTTGTCTAGCATGTGCAAGGCCCTGGGTTTGATCCTCAGCACCACATATAAATAAATAAATAAATAAAAAACAAAACAAAACAAAACAAAACTTTCTCTGTTTGGTCCTAATCCATGTTGTTGGAGGCCCACTGCACAGTGAAGGGCAAGAAGCTCTGCTACTCCCCATTTAGTTACCTTAGCACAGATGGCAAACAGTCCACAAACATTACCTTCAAACATGGAGATTACTATTAGTGAGTCCCTTCCTTCCTAGTTTTCTTATCCTAAAACACTCAGTTGACACTCAACACCTTAGTTTGTTGATGGCCATATTAAGTAGTCACATGCATTAGGGAAGCTACCTTCATGTTGTCCATGGATGATGTTCAGTGTTCCATCAGGGGCACCAGAATCCTGAAGCAGCTTAGCAAGAAGCATAGTTGCTCCAGGGACTCGCTCTGATGGTTTCATTAGGAAAGTATTCCCACAAACCATGGCCATGGGAAACATCCAAAGGGGGATCATGGCAGGAAAATTAAATGGAGCAATGCCTGCACACACTCCCAGGGGCAGACGATAGGAATAAAGGTCCATGTCTTTGGTGATGGATGGCATAGTTTCTCCCAACATGAGGGATGTCACACTACAGGCATGCTCGACCACCTCTGGAACAGAGAAGAAGAAGTTAGGCCACTAGCTCCCCACACTGAGCATTGCTTAGCTTTATCTTGTTCTGTTCAGCCCTGAGGCTGTGATCAGGCCAATGACAGAATCCCATCTTCCTTTTCCTAAAGTCCCATAAGGGCTCCCAGCTTACGAAGGCCTCGGAATACATCTCCTTCAGCATCAGCTAGGGTCTTCCCTTGTTCCAATGTGATTAACTTGGCAATTTCTTTCTAGAGAGAAAAACACAAATAGAAACTCATACAAGGATATTCCTCCTTTTGTTTATTTTTGCAGTTCTGGGGATCACACCCAGGGTCTTGTGCATGCTAAGCACATACTATACCATTAAGCTAGAACCTTAGTTCCCATGTTCCTCCTTTTAATTCTCAGGTTGCCAAGACAGAACAAAACAGACGGAGAAGCAGAACGAGGGAGACAGCCATGATCAATGTCTCTGTGTTGCAGAGTTAGGGAGAGCAGCTGAAAAGGTCACTGGAGGAGTGATCAACCCCGCTAGGCACTAGTGTAGAAAATTATACCATTTAGGTTTCTTTTTTTTTTTTAATATTTTTCTCTTAGATGTTGATAGATCTTTATTTTTTTATTTATACATGGTGCTGAGAATCAAACCCAGTGCCTCATACATGCAAGGCAAGTGTGCTACCACTGAGCCACAGTCCCAGCCCCCATTTAGGTTTCTTACCAAGTTTTCTTTAATAAGTTGTTGATAGCGGAGCAGGACCTGCTGCCGGCTCAACACTGATGTGTCTGCCCATGCAGGGAAAGCACGCTTGCAGGAAGCAATGGCTGCATCCATTTCAGCCTTGGTGGACTGAGGGACCCGACCAATAACCTCATTAGTGGCCTGATGGGAAAAAAAAAAGGGAAAAAAAAAAAAGCCATCATACTTTGCCAATGCCCTACCTTCTCCATGTTCCATCTAGTCACAGAGGCAGCACTATGTACTTCATGATAGACACTCAGGTCCCGAGGGCCCCACCTTCCCACTATGTTCCCAGAATTCTAGGCCAGTCAGTAAGTCCCAAACCAGTTTTGCTTACTGGGTTGTGGATGTCAATCCATTTATCACTTTTGGATTCAACAAATTTGCCATCAATGAAGAGTTTTACAGTTGGCTGGGGATTAAAAAAAAAACACAAACTTTATATTAATTAATTGCTTTGTTTCTCCCTTTCCCTTTCATAAAGCAGGAGGAGTTCAGGTTGATAAGTGAATCTTCTTGTCTTTAGGACTGTTACCCCTAGGAAAAAGATACACAATGTTCTTGTCTATAGTACTATTAACATGCAGCAGCACCTCTCAACACTGTTCTCTCTCTGAGCATAAGAAACTCTCTGCTATTCACCCAGTGATCTTCATGAGCAAATACATCACTTGGAAACTGGGTTAAAAAAAAGCAGCCACTGTGTGCATCAGCCAATTATGACTTACTGGCCCCACTGACTTTCTGTCACATTATTACATACACATTTTACCTTTATGATAAAAATTTTTAAATTGTTCTATCTACATGTATTTAAAAAAAAACCTTTTTGTAGGGCTGGGATTGTGGCTCAGCAGTAGAGCACTCGCCTAGCACGGGCGGGCCCAGGTTTGATCCTCAGCACCACATAAAAATAAAGGCATTGTGTTGTGTCCATCTACACCTAAAAAATATTTTTAAAAAAAGTTTTGTAGTTGTAGATGGACAGCATGACTTTATTGTTTATGTTTATGCAGTGCTAAGGATCGAACCCAGTGCCTCACACATGCTAGGCAAGTGCTCTGCCACTGAGCTACAGCCTCAGCCCTACATGTTTTTTTTTCCTCCCCTGAGATCACTTTCACTAAATTTTCAGAGGTCTACTTTTTTTTTTTTTCTGTTGTCATACAGAATACCTGAGAATGGGTAATTTACAAAGGAACGAAGTTATAGAGGCTAGAAGTCCCAAATAAAGCAGCTGTACCTGGCAAAGTCTTCACAATAAAGAAGAAAACTGGGAAGGGCAAGTGGGTGAGAAAGTCATTCATCTTAATGACCTAACCACCTCCCTGACACCTGACACAATGGCAATCAAATTTTAACATTCAGCTAGAAGAATAAGTAGTTATGCTCCATTTGTGTACAGTGTGTCAAAATGCATTCTACTGTCATGTATAACTAATGAGAACAAATAAAAAAAATCTTAACATGAATTTTAGAGGAGACAAACTACATTTAAACCATAACAGGATCTGTGAACCAAAAATGGTGAAGGACTACTGGGCTACAGTATGTACTTACTTCTACAGGGAGAGGATTTTGCGTAGCAGTCTTTGTTTAATAGATTTGAAATACAGAAGTGACAGAAGATGGATGTTCTGTAAAAACAACTCTAGAGGTTTAAGAGGAAGACAACTATTTGGCAGATTCAACAAAACCTTTAGAAGAAGACAAGAGTGGTGGCACATACCTGTAGTCACAGGTACGCAGGAGGCGGAGGTGGGAGGCTCACAAGTTCAGGACCAGTTTGGGCAACTTAGTCAGACCTTGTGCCCCTGCCAAAGTCTAAACCTCTAGAAGTCAGAGAAATGTTTGTACCTTTTGGCATAGTAAGTAAAATTCAGAACAGAAATAATCCAAAAGAAGGAAAAAACTATATTTAAAATGTTTTATAACACTGAAAAATATAAACAATCTAAATGTTATATGGAGAAATTACTAGTTAATTCAAGCTACATCAACTTGATGGAATAATCCACAGCCATTAAAAACCATAATCATAGGGCTGGGAATGTAGGTCAGTGATAGAGGATTTTCCTAGCATGTATATGTCCCTGGGTTTGATCTCCAGCTCTGAAAAAACCCCACAAAACTATAAAGTCTATCTTGCAATAATGAAACTGCTCACAAAATAATAGTCAAAATAGTAGGTAAGAAAACCAAGATAAAAAATTTCACATATACTCTGATCACAATTATGTAAAGATAAAAAGGAATACCCCCTGGGCTGGGGTTGTGGCTCATTGGTAGAGCGCTTGCCTAGCACGTATGAGACTGGGTTCGATTCTCAGCACCACATTAAAATAAATAAAATAAAGGTATTGTGTGTCTTATTACAACTAGAAATAGTAAAAAAAAAAAAGAATATCCCCACACCATACTGGATTCCTTCTTGGAAGTCAACTTTCAATGATAAATATACTTACGACTGAAGAAGAGAAGGAGGATGCTGGATACCAGGTGGAGTGTACCTTGGAAGAAACCTGTGTGATAAAATAATAATTTGATAAATGAGAAAAGAAAATTATTAAAACTTTAGCTACTGTATTAGAATACTAGCTACTGTGAATATGAAAAAGAACTTGGTGTTTGCTTTCAAGGACCATATACCTTAAAAATATACATATATACAACTAAAAAAAAAAAATATATATATATATATATATATATATATATGTATTTTTAGTTGTGGATGGACACAATACCTTTATTTATTTTTTATGGTACTGAGAATTGAGCCTCATACGTGCAAGGCAAGCACTCTACCACTGAGCCTCAGCCCCAGCCCCATACTTTTAAAGAAATGTATGAAACTATGAGGTGCCGCAAACTGAGAGAATAATGTCATAATAATCATGTCCCAAATTTCCAAAACCGGGTTGATTAAATTTTTTTGTTATTATATTTTAATAGTTTGGGGTCTAGAAAATGTCACCATAAATCTAACAGAAAGAAAATATTTAGCATGGTATATAATACAACAGGTGTTGAAAACAATGTACAATCAATATATATGTAATAAGCTATATCATGTATAATCAATGTAGATATAGATTATACAGTACATAATAAAATGTAAGTATAATCGCTCATACAAATACTTGGATACAAATGTTCATAGCAGTGTTGTTTGCAATATGCCAAAACTTGGAAATGACCTAGATGTTCACCACTGGATAGGTGAACAATAAAACTAATGTCTATATCCATACATCAGACTACTACTCAAAAATAAAAAGGAATAAAATATTGACACATGCAACATGGGTGATTATAATAATTATGGCAAGTGAAAGAATTCAGACATAAAAAGAGTAATAATGGATGGTTTCATTTATGTAAAAAAACTACAAAGTGCAAACTATAGTATGAGTTTAGTGTAGTCTTGTATGAGAAAGCAGACTAGTAGTTACTAGGGAATGATGGGGAAGGTGGCAAAGGGGACTAAGAGGGAAACTGGTTTTAGGTGATGGATATATGTTCATTATTTTGACTGTCATTTTTGTTTTGGTACTGTAGACTGAACCCACGGGCTTTTTACCACTGGGCTACATCCTCAGCTCTTCTTATTTTTTGTTTTTAGACAGAGTTTTATAAGTTGCTGAGGCTGATCTGGAACTTTTGATCTTCTTGTTTCAGGCTCCCAAGTTGCTGGGATTAGGTCTATGTCACCACACCTGGCTCTCATTATCTTAATTGTGATGATGACTTCACAGGTTTATAAAAATATTAAATCTTATAAATTGTACAATTTATTTATTAATTACTGGGGATTGAATCCAGAGGCACTTTACCACTGAACCACATCCCCAGCCTTTAAAAAAAATTTTTTTTTAGTTATACATGGGCACAATGTCTTTATTTTGTTTATTTATTTTTATGTGGTGCTGAGGATCGAACCCAGGGTCTTACAAGTGCGAGGTGAGCGCTCTGCGGCTGAGCCACAACCCCAGCCCCCCCCAAGCCTTTTAATTTTTTTAATTTTGAGTCAGTCTCATTAAGTTGCTTAGGTCCTTGCTAAGTTGCTGAGGCTGGTCTTGAACTCTCAATCCTCCTGCCTCTGCCTCTGAGTCACTGAGTCTACAGGCATGCACCACCATGCCCGGCATAAATTGTACACTTTAAATATGCACAGATTATTTTATGCCAATTTTATCTCAATAAGGCTGTTTTTAAAATGCCACAGGCACCTTATGGGAATAAATATGTCCTATCAGTAATATTTGATAGGGCAGAATCAGTGAATGGAGAAGGGAGGGTCATTTACAACAATGTCAGCTTAAACTGTAATTCTAAAAAAAATACATATATGTATATATATATATACATATATATATACACACACATACATACATACATACACACGTATACATATACACACACATATATGTTGTGGAAATTGATTTTAAAAAAAAAACCCTCCAGGGCTGGAGATGTGGCTCAAGCGGTAGCGCGCTCGCCTGGCATGCGTGCGGCCCAGGTTCGATCCTCAGCACCACATACAAAGATGTTGTGTCCGCCAAGAACTAAAAAATAAATAAATATTTAAAAAAAAAAAATAAAAAAAAATAAAAACATCTCTTCTGTTTTAAAAAAAAAAAAAAAAAAAAAAAAAAAAAAAAAAAAAAAAAAAAAACCCTCCAAATGGCTTTCCACTGCTCTTGGGATAAAGACTCATCTCTTTGATGTTGCTTGGAAGACTCTACATAGTATCTTTGTTTCTCTAGGTCTCTCAGCTTGCTATTTTCCTCCTTACTTTCTCTGTTCCAGTCATTCTGAGTATGTTTTGCACTCTTGCCCATGCACATGCTAATCCCTCTTGGCTGGCTCTGTTTCATTCCTTTTGCTTGGTTCACTCTTACTCCTTTAGGTTTTTACTTGGTTAACACTTGTCTAGGAATCCTCAACGTCAGGTCTGGGCTAAGTACCTGATTGTGGAGTTTCTCCGTTTGCTTTATGGATACTAAACAAGCTTGTTTAGTTATTAAGTTCCTCTCCCCTTAGATCAACTGACCATTTTGCCCTTAGCCCATAGCATGGTTCCTGGAATACAGTAAGTACTCATTAATATTACTGATAGGACATATTTCTTCCCATAAGGTGTCTGTGGCATTTTAAAAACAGCCTTATTGAAATAAAATGGCCATAAAATAATCTAATGAGCCAGGCTTGGTAGTATATACTCAGCTACTTGGGAGGCTGAGGCAGGAGGATAGCAAGTTCAAGACCAGCCTGGGCAACTTAGTAAGAAGATGTCTCAAAATAAAATTTATATTAAAGAGGACCTGGGGGTGTAGCTAAGTGGTAGAGTGCTTGCCTATTGTGTTGCAAGACTCTGGGTTCAATCCCCAGCATCAGGAAAAAAATGCAGAATGAATACTTACCAAGCAATATTTTGATACTTATTTTGCTGCATGTGCTCTTTCAAATGCACTTAGCAGCCAACTTGGGTGTTTTAGGCCATTTAAATTTTATGTTTTCACTTATATACAACCTCTCTCCTGTTAAGGGGAATAATAGATCCGTATCTGATATAACAGAACATTATCATATGGGTTATTTTTTCCCTCCTAGTGTAGTTTTATTGTTGTTTCTGTGGTACTGGGGAATCAAACTCGGGGAGTTTTCCAACCTAGCTACATCCTCAGCCTTTCTTATTTTATTTATTTTTTTTATTTTGAGACAGTATCTGGATAAATTTCCCAGGGTGGCTTTGAACTCATGATCTTCCTGACTCAGCCTCTCAAGTAGCTGGGATTACAGGTATGCACCATTACTGGGAACAATTTACAACTGAGCTATATCTCCAGCTCTTTTTATTTTTTATTTTGAGACAGGGTTTCACTCAGTTGTTTAAGGCTTCACTAAGTTGCTGAGGTTGGTTGATCTTGAACTTTTGGTCCTCTTATCTCAGCCTCCAGAGCCACCACTGGGATTACAGGTGTGTACCAACATGCCTGGCTGGTTTTTTTTTTTTGTTTGTTTGTTTGTTTTTTGTTTTTTGGTACTGAGGATTGAACTCAGGGGCACTTGACCACTGAACCACATCCCCAGCCCTATTTTGTATTTTATTTAGAGACAGGGTCTCATTGAGTTGCCTCTCCATTTGAGCTCGAGATCCTTCCCAAGCAGCTGGGATTACAGGCTTGCACCACTGCACCTGGCTATGTTTTTGTATTTTTTAGTGAAATATAACTTCTCATTCTTCTGGTTGTACATGGTGCAGAATTACAATGGTTGTGTTAGATCTGATATCTTTGCTTCATTTCCTAAGAAACATTCATTAGTACCACTGCTGAAGAAATTATCCTATGACAAGTCACACCAAACTTCTACTGTCTATATGCACATTTTCTACCTGCTAAGGAACTGTCTTCTCCTCTTGGCTAATGACTTGTTAGTCTTGCAACACTTTACTCAGAGTAAAACCCTTTTGGAAACTTTCTCTGAATTGTACAGGTTGAGTTTGGGGCTTTTCCCTTATGTCCCTGCAGTACCTTGGGCATGCCTATTGTTTATCACTTATCATCACATTACATTAGAGGACATTTCAGTGAGTCTTTTACTGAAAGTCTGGGAAAGTGCCCACATGGAAAAAATTGCACTATTTAAATCCTGAATTCCCAGCTCTATCAGGTATTACCTGGGTGACATTAAATATCAGATAATTTACTTAGTTATGTTTATTAATTCTAATCTTCATAAATATTCTTAAAGCTACAAACTTGTGGAGCTGGGATAGAAGCCAAATGTGATTGTGAAGCTTGTGCTTTTTGTACAACATTACTGAGGCAAGTCACTGAGTCTCTAAGATTGGTTTTCTGAATCGGAGTGAGAATATCATAAGAAAGAGAAAAACGTTCTTGGTTCAGTTTTACTAGCCTTGATAACAGAGAAGATAAGCTAAATACATAAAATAACTAAAAACATGAACCCTCACATCTACAAATCCTTTTGATAGTCGTCTTTATATTCCTGGATTTAGACTACTTTTGTGTGTGTATGGTCCTGGGGATGGAAGCCATGGCCTCATACAAGTGAAGGAGTGCTTTATTTTTATTTTGAGATAGTGTCTTTCTAAGTTGCCCAGCCTGGCTTTGAACTTATGATGCTTCTGCCTCAACCTCTTCAGTAACTGGGACTACAGATGAGCACCACTCTTATCAGATTTAGACTACACTGTATCAAATTTTCATGTTACAGTAACTTCTAGTTGGTAAGGGTTATTATTTCTGGTCTCTTCGAGGTTAGTTCATAGATTTCTTCCAATGAGTAAAAAAATAGTGTCTAATATTTCTAAAATAAAGTGCACAGGAAGTTTTCCTCCTTGAAGCAAAGGACAAAATACCTTCTGAATATTCTCAATGATTCATTTTTTTTTCAATGATTCATTTTGATGAGAGTAGAATTGAAGGAAAAAGCCAATTTCAGTAGAATATTTCAAGAAGGTGGTAATGGGAAATATAGTTTTCTTGCTATTAAAAAAGATAATAGAACTAGAATAACGGCAAGAAATATGAGTGAAGCCAGACCAACCCCTTTAGCCCATTCTCAAACATCAACCTTTGCTGGCTCTGCCAAGAATTTTGAAAATGAATGTTTCTGCAATAGAACTCATCAAAACCTGACAAATACTAATATTACCTAAAAGTAAAACAACATAGAAGAAGTTACCAGGTTGGATGTAATGAACAGGAAGGCAATGTTGTTCCTTGTAGGTTTGAAAGTCTTCCCTGAAGCAACACTTGCCTCATATTTTAAGTCCTTTCTAGGCTTAGAACAGGGGAAAGGCTATGAACAAAGCTTCAGACCTGCAGCTTCTGTAACTTTATAACCTCTCTTTAGGCTGGCTCCAGAGAGCACCCAACCCCCAAGGGCAGAGTTGAGAATGTGTTGAAGAAGCTGACTTTGTGGCAAAAACTTTGAACTTCTTGTCTTGCTTGCTCTCGTTTTGGAAATGTTTAATCATTTGAATATATGTGGAACATAGTAACGTAACAATGTGCCCTTTACCTCCAACAGGAAACCGTAACTTCGCAAGAAACAGTTTAACTAAAAGTCTTGGCAAGAAAGCACAGAGCTTGTGGAAAATACAGAGTTATAACAGTTGGGGAAAAACTGTTAGCAAATGGCTGCCTTGGGTGAAAACCCAGCGTACATTTCTAGGAGATTCAAAGTTCATTTTCTGACCCCTCGCGTACTCCCTCCCCCCTTACCTTAGATTATGGACAGAGAAGTCGAGAGAAAGGAGCAATTTGGACGTTCCTGGCAGGGAAAGAGCTCTAAGTGAGGTGACCAGAAAAGGGCATTTCTAGGGAGAGAGGTGGCTGGTGCAGAGGTGAAAAGGAAAACTGGGCGGACTGAGAGGTAAGAGCAAGCGAGTGACAGCAGGGACACGGCAAGACTGGAGGATAGCGGGCCAGAGCCAGAAAAGGAGGCTCAGGAGGAAAGGGTGGAGGGCCAGGGGTGATAATTCAGGGCTCGTACCAGGGTGAGGGAAAGTATACGAAGTGAAGGAGTGGGACAGGGCTGCATAGTGGGGTGGGAACACAAGGGTCCGCCAAGAAGGGGCTGGGCCAAAAGTCTGTCCCGCCGGAGCATTGCTCAGAGAGTGGGTGGAAAGGATCCATTCCTAGCTTCGTGGTCCCTCGGCGCCACCCTCACTCGCCTGCAGGATCCGGGACCGCACTGTCGCCGCCGCCACCACCGCCGCCATGGCTCTGAGCTGTCTCTCCTCCGCTTCCCCAGCCTCTGCGGCCTTTGCCTACCAGGCAGTACCGCGGCCAAGCCTCGCCCTCCAGCCTGCCAAACCTCTTCATTGGAAGACAAGACCGCTTCCTCCAGCCAATCACTCACTGGAACACCTGACTCCACCTCTCACTTCCAGTCCTGTGGGAATATGATTGGTCAGGAAGAGAATGGCTCTCGCCTCCTCCCACCTCAGCCAATTCTATTGGTGAAGATAGGGAGACGCCCCTGACTTGGGTACTCTATATTGAGCACGCGGGGAAGACGCCCCCTAATCGGGAGTCACCATTGGCTACGGGCATGATCCAGGTCCCACCCCCTCACTAAGGAAAGTAAATAGACCCTCCAAGAATTTTGCAGTCACTTTAACACTACCACGAGGGGCGTGACTATGACCGGGAGGGCGGGGATAGGCAAATATTGCCCTATGGGGGGTTAATGAGATTAGGCTACAAGTTGGGGATTGGGTGTCTCTTTGGGGGCGTGGCTTATGAATCCTCGCTTTCCCGCCGACGGTTGGCCACGTCACGTGACATGGGTCGGAAGATGGCGTCTCCCACAGACGGTAAGAGCCGGCTTGGAGCCGGCTTGGAGATTCTTGGCCTGCAACCTCTTTCTTTGCTTCTGTGGGAACTTCCACTATCCACCTTCCCCTCGCACTTACAATTTTTTATTGGGATCCTTTCGTGTCTTTCACTTCATTTTCCTGGGATACGTCCCTGTCTCCAGCTCGCCGGTTCTTCGCAGCGTCTGCATATATCCTGGCGGGTGGAGTAAGGCATCAGCTAGGGACCGGTTTTGGGCAAAAGGACCGGGATCGCCCTGGCCCTCCCTTAATCCTATTGGAGTGAGACTGAAGTCGAAGAGAGGATACAATTGGGGGAAAGGAAGTGCTTTGCTGTAGTTTTCTCCTCGCGGCGCCCCATTGAAGTGTCTCTTCTATTCTAATCGAGCAGGGATGGAGCCCTAGCCGGGGTTGGTGGCTGACCTCTTCCCGGGACTGAACCACAGGAGAAACATGATTCTTTCCTGCTTTTTCGGTTGCTCTGGCAGAAGAGAACGGGGGACCTTCTCGTTTTCTCGCCTTTGGAGAAACGAGAATTGAGCATTCTAATGTAGTCTTGAATAGCCTTAACCACTCTTGTGTCTGCTTTATGTGTCGTTTCTTTAGGCTGAGTGAGTGAACAATTTCTACTATATGTTAACTGAAATGCAAGTCATTTCAAGGTAGCAGTTAGGTGGTTTCGGTGCACTCTGCTTTAGAGAGTTTAGGGTCTTGTACTAATTTTGAACTCAATTTTTCCATCTGTAGTTCCCAGCCCCACACCGATTTCATTGACAGGTGGTTTTCCGTCCTCAAACATTTTGTGTTTGGAAGGAATCTTGCGAATTAAGGAGAGCTATTATCGGGTACCTGCTAAATGAAAAGCAAATGCTGGGTGCTTTAGGAGATGGAAGGATGAATCAAATATCAATATATTTTTCAATTCCAAGTCTCATTTTAGATGTCACCTCCCGAAAAGGCCTTTCCCAGACATTTTTTGAAGTTGTCCCTCTCCACCATTATTCACTATCTTAATCTCTTCATTGTCAGCATAGTTGTTCTGTTAACTTTGACCCTTTTACGCCTGGTCATAAATTCTGTCTTTGGATCCCCGGGTTTAGCATAGTGCTTGGCAAGCAGTTATCCTTCAATTAATATATATTAAAAGAAAGATTAGGTATATCTAGAAATAATGTTCAACTGAGTCTGAAGTTTTTTTTTTTTTAAGAGAGAGAGAGAGAGAATTTTGTTTAATATTTATTTTTCAGTTTTCAGTGGATACAACGTCTTTATTTTATTTTATGTGGTGCTGAGGATCGAACCTAGCGCCCCGCGCTTGCCAGGTGAGCGTGTTACCGCTTGAGCCACATCCCCAGCCCTGAAGTTTTTTTTTTTTTTTTTTTTAAAAAACAATGTAACTTAAAAAAAAATTATTTAGATATTGATGGACCTTTATTTTATTCATTTATTTATATGTGGTGCTAGACAAGCACCCTAACACTCAGCCACAACCCCAGTTCCAGAGTCTGAAATTTTTTGAGCATGGGAACATACTGTATAAAAATTGTGGATGGGGGCTGGGGTTGTGGCTCAGTAGAGCTCTTGCCTCGCACGTGGGAGACCCTGGGTTCCAGCCTCAGCACCACATTAAAAAAAAATAAAATAAAATAAGTGAAATAAAGGTGTTGTGTTCAACTACAACTAAAAAATAAATATTAAAAAAGATTGTGGATGTTCAGAATTAAAAGAGATTGTTCTGCCTTTTAGATACTTCTCTTTCCAGAAGAGGGAGGAAAAAAAGGCATTTAAGAAGTCAGCTAAGGAAATGGGGAGTTATTTAATACCTTATTTGAGAAGATGAGAAAATTTTGATGATAGATAATGGTGATGATTGGATAATGTTAATGTACTTAATGCCATTGATTATACACTTAAAGAATAAAATGGTGAATTTATGTTATTTAAATTTCACCACACAAAAGAAGTCAGCCAAGTTGTAGATACAGAAGTAATTGCTATTGAAATTTTAAATTTATTATTAAGTTTTTTTATATATATATTTTTTTCAAGTTTTGGAGATTTTTGGAGCTGTGTTCTTTGTCTTTGATTTTTTTCCCTGCCTTCTCGCAATTTCTTTTCCTTAGCTAAGAAGAGTATTGGGAATAATATTTTTTCCCTTTTGTTATCTAATCATCTCCATGGTCTCTTTTTTGCAAACTTTTTTTTTCTTTTTTCCCTGTAATGGTGATTAAACCCAGGGGTGCTCTACTGCTGAGCAACATCTGCAGCCCTTTAAAAAAAAAAAAAAAGTATTTTTGAGATAGTGTCTCACTAAGTTGCTGATACTGGCCTTGAACTTTCGATCCTCCTGCCTCAGCCCCAGAGTTGCTGGATTTACAATTGTGCTCCACTGCCTCTTGTTGCCATCTTGAATTTTAAAGTTTTTATTCTCCTCTCTGACACTTACACCTTTTTTCTATCCAATCTTTTTTTTTTTTTTTTTACTTTGACAAAATCAAATTAAGCATTCTGAATTTAAATGCAGCTTCTAAATAAGTATTTCAGCTGAGCGCTCTGGCACAGGACTGTAATACCATAGATTGGGGTGGCTGAGGTAGAAGAATGGCAAGTTCCAGGCCAGCCTCAGCAACTTAGCAAAAAAGGGCTGGGAATGTAGTTCAGTGGTTAAACGCCTCTGGGTTAAATCCACAGTACCCAAATCATCCTGAATTATTCCACTGCTTTTGCTCTTTCACTTTTATCTTTAGTATCCTGTCTCTGTCTTTAAAATCTAATTAAAATAATGTTGATTTGAAAGTAAGTTTAGGTCATCTACTCTTTTGTCTTTTTATTTTTTGGTTAACAAGGATGTGGATTTTTTTTGGGGGGGGTTGTAGATATATGGAAGACAGGGAAGTAATAATAAAAGTTTAGACTGCATGCATTCTACTATTTACAATTAAATAGTGCAAGGAATTATGCATATGTTCTGTTTTATATAATCTGTAGGTTGGCACATTTTTATTGCTGCACAGGTTTGTGTAAAGTAGTTCACTTTAATCTTCAATTTACCTTTCTGCATCTTTTGTCTTTCTCATGCTAAATTTACTGGAGTTTCTTTTTTTTTTTTTAATATCTTTATTTTTGTTTATTTATTTATTTTTATGTGGTGCTGCGGATCGAACCCAGTGCCTCACATGTGCAAGACAAGCACTCTACCACTGAGCTACAACCCCATCCCTTACTGGAGTTTCTTAAAAGGGAAGAAAATTGAAATGCAAGTAAAGCCGTCTAATTAATTTATGAGCATAAGACTCAGCAGAGTTATGTCCCAGAATGCAGTATTACAACCTTTGTTGGGTATTGGATTCTCTCCCTCCAATAGGTTTATTTTTGTTAATATTGAGTTTCCCATTGAGATATTTCTTGAGAATTTGAAAATTGACATTTTATGTATTTTGTAGCTTTTCTTCTGACCAAATTTTTGGATGCTTTAAATAAGCCAGTGTGTTAGGCTTGAGTTCTTTACCAATTACATCGCTTTTGGAAATTCCCTTGGAATATCTGGTAAAACAGATTTGGTGTAGAGAAAAGAACATTTTGTGCAAAGTTTTATGCACATATTCATTTCTAGGGTGAGAGTGTGTAGTTTTTTTCCCCAAATTTCTAAAGATGTTGCTTATCCAGAAAATGTTAAGTACCCCTGGTTTATAGCATTAAATGAACTAATTTAACTAGCATGCTAAGCACACATTAATACTCAACAAATTTTAAAGTACCTGTTGTGTGTAGGGGAAAATAGAGGGGAAGTAGGGTCAAAGAATGAATGAGAGGCTAAATCAGGTAGAATTTTATAGGACATGGTAGATATGTACTTGGAGATTTAGCTAGAAAAAAGAACTTTTAAGTTGGAGAATGACATTAACCGATTGACTTTTTTTCAGAGGAGGATGGGAATGGGGACTGAACCTGGGAACACTCTACCACTTTCTCTAAAATAAACATGATCTTCCATTTTTACACAGTGGACCAACTAAGACAATCATCATACTCAGTTTACTGAAGTGTTCTCTGAGTACTCATGTGTGGTCACTCCCAGTATTGAAAAGACATGTACTTAAGGGTTGTGATTTAATAAAATTAATAATCGTGTGTGTATGTGTATGTCTGTGTGTGTGTGTGTGTCTGTGTCTGGAGGATGGGTACTTGGGCCGTTCTACCCCTGAGCTACATTTTTTTACTTTTTATTTTGAGGCAAGATCTGGTTAAGGTGCCCAGACTGGCCTTGAACTTGGCATTCTTTTGCCTTAGCCTCCCATGTAGTTGGAATTACAGGCATGTGCTACCATGCCCAGCATGATTGACATTTTTGAAAAGTAGTATCTGGCTATTTTGTGGAGAACAGGTCTGAGGGTGAAAGGGAAGGAGTAAGAACAGGAGCAGGGATGTCTATTTAGAGGTTTTTGAAGTAGTGCAGGAGAGAAGTGATGGCTTCTTGAATACATTCGATTTTGTGGTGTATTCTGGAGAAGAAACTTGAATTTACTGATGGATTAGAACAGTTCCGGAAAAGGAGGCATGAAAGATTAATCTGGGCTTTTGGTTAGAGAATTTGGGTTTAGGATATTGCAGTTTCTTGAGTTGGCAAGGATTGGGAAATTATGATTTTGAACATTACTAAGTTTAAGAAGTTTTCACACATGTAAATAAATGGAGAGAGTTGTCAAGTAGCCATTTGAACATATAACTGAAGCTCAGGAGAAAGGTGGTAATGTGAATATGGAGTCATTGGTCTATAGATGTGGTAAGAGTTGTGGAACTAGGTGAGGTAGGAGCTGAGAAAGCAAGGAGTCAAGGACTAGGAGAAAAACCAGCATGGTTGATAGAAGTGGAGTAATCAAGGTGCTGGGGATGTGGCTCAAGGGGTAGTGTGCTCACCTGGCATGCACGGGGCCCTGGGTTCGATCCTCAGCACCACATAAAAGTAAAATAAAGATGTTGTGTCCACTGAAAACTGAAAAATAAATATTAAAAAAAGAAAAGATATGGAGTAATCAGATCACAGAAGAGAGAAAAGAGAAATGACCATTGGATTTAACAACATAGGTCACAGATGTCCTTTACAACAGCAGTATGTATGTTCTATCCATATGTGTAGGGACAGAAGCCTGCTTGTCATAGGTTAAGGAGAGAATGTGAGGTGAAGAATTAAAAGAAAGACAACAGGATAGACAACTCTAGAGCTTTAGTAGTGAAGGATATGGAGGAGTTTATGGGGTCAAGGGAGTTTTTTTTTTTTTTTTTTAAATCTCCCATTAGTATTAGGAATTGAACCCAGGGCCCTCACACATGTTAGGCAAGTGCAGTAGCTAGAATTCACCTTTTTTCTTTTTTTATTAATATCTTTGTTTATAGTAGATAAATACAGTACCTTTATTTTCAGCCTTTTTTTTAATTGTTTTAACTTTTAAAAATTTAAGAGACGATCTTGCTAAATTGCTCAGGCTGGATTCAAACTTGTGATCATCCTGCCCAGCTTCTTGAGTAGCTCGGATTACAGGTGAGTGCTACAATTCCTGGCTGGTTTCTGTTTTTGTTTTTTTAAAGTAAGGAAATTGTGTAGAGTCAGGCATGGTTGTGCATGCTTATAATCCCAGCTACTCAGGAAAAAGGCAGAAGGACTGCAAATGTGAAACCAGCCTCAGTAATTTAGTGAGACCCTGTCTCAAAATAAAAAGAGTGATAGTTAAGTGCCCCCTGAGTTCAATCCCCAATACCAAAAAAAGGAAAGAAAGAAATTCTACACCAGGTATAGTGGCACATGCCTATAATACAGCAGTTTGGGATGCTGAGGCAAGAGGATCATAACTTTGAGGTCAGTCACAACTTTAGGAAGAAAGACCCTGTCTCAAAACAAAATATAAAAAGGCTAGGGATATAGGTTTGTGCTGCCCCTGTGTTCAATCCCCAGTACTGCAAACAAAAAAATAACAGAAGGGAAATTCTAGAGCAGACTTGCTTGCTGTTGAGTATGAGTCTAGAGAAAATAGAAAATGAAGAGGAAGATATTGAAGGTGTTGTTCTTGACAAAGCAAGAGAAGATGGAATACAGAGTTCTAGCAGAGGAGTTTATCTTTCATGGGAGTAAAGGATACTCAATTGGTTGTAACATACCTAGTCCTTTATTTAAAAAAAAAAAAAAAATTAGGCAGGGTCCTGCTAAATTGCTGAGGCTGGCCTTGAACTTGAGATCCTCTTGCCTTAGCCTCACAAATCACTGGTATTACAAGTGTGTGCCACCGAACCCAGCTAATACTCATTTTTCTTAACACTCATCTAACATATCACTCCTAGCCAGGCACAGTAGCACAAGCCTATAATCCCAGCAGCTCAGGAGGTTGAGGCAAGAGGATCTCAAGTTCAAAGCCAACCTCAGCAAAAGTGAGACGCCAAGCAACTTAGTGAAATCCTGTCTCTAAATAAAATACAAATAGGGCTAAGATGTGGCTCAGTGGCTGAGTGCCCCTGAGTTCAATCCCAGGTACTCAAAAGAAAAAAACAAATCACTCCTGTTTTACTCATTTGAAGAGTGAGATTTGATGAAGAATGGTTTATTTGTTTTACATAACGATCATTAGTAGTTATAGAACTCAAATCTCTAGACTTCCAGTTGAGTATTTCAGTTTACGTTGAGACTGAAATGTAATAAAGTAGAAATTAATGTGTTTCCTGTCTTTATGTCTAATCTGGGTATTTTGTCCTAGGGACAGATTTGGAAGCATCTTTGCTAAGTTTTGAAAAACTTGACCGTGCCTCACCAGATCTTTGGCCAGAACAATGTAAGTTTTTACTTTCTTCTTATCACTATAGATGCATGAGAACCAGTATTCCCGTGGGAAATTTTTGAAGAGTTATCAAGTAATTGTAATGGATTAAAGTTTTTTTTTTTTTTTCACTTCAAAGTGAAGAGATTGATGTCCAATGATAATAGCTGTTTTGTGTATTTTTTCCAGAACATTGTATGACAGAAAGTAAGGATCCTTGAAATAATAATTATTTTTAAAAACTATATCTGTAATAAATATAGATAATATTGAGATATATAAAACATTTCCTTACCTTCTTTAATCTCTTTTTTAAAGTTAACTATAATTAATTTATTACAAATTGGTTTTGTCTGTATTATACACATAAGTAAATATATATGTATATGTACAAATATATATATACAATGTAAATATATAAAATATATGTAGTGTAATATATATTTTATGTGTGTGTATTATACACACATATATACACTTTTTTCCACTTTGTGTGTGTGTGTGTGTGTGTGTGTGTGGTCTAGGGATTGAACCTAGGGCTTCACACATGCTAGACAGGTGCTTTACTACTGAGCTATATATCCAATCCTAAATAAATATATTTTTTAAGAATATAGATGGAGGCCAGGGTTGTGGCTCAGTGGTAGAGTGCTTGCCTAGCATGAGGCAGTAGGTTTGATCCCCAGCACCATATACAAATAAATAAAATAAACGTCAAAAAAAAAATTAAAGAAAAAAGAAAATAGGTGGATTATTTTGTTTTTTATGATGATGGATCCCTGTGAATATGATCTTCAGCTTAATTTATTAAACCTAGTAACTAATTAGTAGATCTTACCTTATTATATGTGTAGGTCAATTTCATTCCTTTAAATATATTTTATTACATGAATACATCATAGTTTGTGTATTCATATCCTATTTGGCGACATAAGCTACATTCAGTGTTTTATTTTGCATATTTTATTGATGAGAGCTGGGCATAGTGGTGCATACCTGTAATTTGAGTAACTAAGGAAACTGATACTGGAGGATCACAGGTTCAAGGCCAACATTGGCAACTCAGCTAGAACATGTTTCAAAATAAAAAATATAAAAAAGGGCTGGGGATGTAGTTCAATGGTAGAGCACACCTGAGTTCAACCCTCAGTACTGCAAACAACAATAGCAACCTTTATTAATGAGTATCTTTGCACATGTGTTTGTGTACATGGAAGAGGATGACTGTGGAAGAGAGTGCCCATTTTCTCACGTACCAGCCAATTTTTGCTGTTACCAACCTCTATTATTTTAAGTTTGTGTTTCTTTATTAATGAGTTTGAACATCATTTCCCTTTTAACTATCTGTTCTTTCTTTTTTTTTAACTAATAATTCATCATACATTTGCTTCATTTTTTAGCTTGACCTTCTAATCAATCTTTAACTTCATTGATTTAGGCTCTTATCTAAGGAAATCCTTCTGTGGGTAATTTAAGAGCATACTTTATTGATGAGCATCTTGTTTTTCCTATAGAAGTAGTAGGGCTTAAACCAAGTATTAATGCTGCTTCCTCTTCTCATTTGGGGTTCAAACCTACCTCTGTAATAGTCACCACTGATGGCAGTTTTTGGTAGTCTTTTTTTAGGTATTTGTTTTATTTGAGGCTCCTTATGCCTCATGGCTTGTAAAACATAATGACCTGCTGCAACAATGGTCAGTCTAACTGCTCCCATGTACTGGCCACGGCTCTGGCTCAGTCCCCCTGCTTCTACTGGGAGCATCATTCATCCTAACCCAAAGGCCACATAACCACGCCTTTACCAGAATGTGATGCAAGCACTGCTAGCAAGTGTAAATCTTCCAAAGGAGCCCTTGTTTTTCTATTTTTTAATCTGATTCTTCCTGTGATACACTTAAATGAGTAATTGAATTTAAAAAAACAGCATAACTAAAAAGGAAGTTTAAACTTTTTGGTAAGAGATACTGTATCTCACCATCCTTGCAACTAGTTCCTGGTCCTTTAAAGCATTATTATTATTATTATTAGTTGAGGCATTATTTTTTCCCAGAAGTTTTTCCTGCCTCCTTAGTCTGGTTTAGATTTCCTTCCTTCCTTTTTTTTTTTTTTTTTCCTTTTTTGCCTTCCCATGGCACCTGGCATCTTTCTTGGTGCACTTAAATAATTTTAGAGTTATTGTTTTACATTGTTCTTTTTCAGACTGTAAGGTCCTTGATGGCAAGGCTATTTTCTTAATTATTTGAATCCTTTATGCCTGAGCACTCAAAGATTGTTGAATGAATAATTTTTTTTTTTTCTTTTCAGTACCAGGTGTTGCTGAATTTGCAGCTTCCTTCAAAAGTGTAAGTATTATCTTACTTTCCTAATGAAGTTTATCTAAAGTTTTGCTCCTGGGTGAAAGCTCTAATCTCTCATTTCTTTATTTTCATGAGCCATGTGATAGCCTTCAAATTATTTTCTAACTGCAGTCCTATAAATCTGTTTATATTGTCATCATGTTAATGGTTGATAATGCATTTCTCTGTTCAGTTGCTCTATTTTGACATTTTTTCCTTTGTTTCTTAACCTCTTTTCTCAGTTTGAGAGCTTTTAAGGTAAGGCAGTTGAAATATTTAATGTATTGGTGGTATTCTTTTTGTTCAAACTATAATTTTGAAGCTTTCTCTTTTAATTATCCAGTGCATTATGGTGTAAATTTATTTCTCCTTAGAGAATTTTCTAATTTCTCCATGTTTCCTTAGAAACCTGAGAGAAGGCATTCATAAGAGCCACAGACTTTCCAATTCCACAGCAGCAGATATTGTGCTTGAAGCTCTAAATATATTCTCTTATATATTCCCACAACCAGGAAAATATGATGCTAATGATAGCATCATGGTGCTTACCATGTGCCAGGCACTGTTCTAAGTACTTTACATATGTTATTTAATCTTTACAAAACCAGGTGAGATAGTACTATAATTAATCATCTCAGACAAGGATATCTGCAAGACTGGTTGTGGGTATATAAGTTACCCAAGGTTATAGACTCTAAATGGAAGAATCAGGTTTTTGAACTTGTTATGGCCTCTATATTCTTAACACTAAATAGGATTTGAGTCCACTGTTTCAAGCACCGACTAGCAGTGAAACTTGACCGCTAAGTTACTTGCTCAACTCCTAGGCAGTGGTAGACCAGGATTTGAATTCAGATCTAATTCCAAAGCCCAAGCTCTTTCTTTCAAACCATATTGTTGGGGGTTGTGACATAACTCCCATTGTCTCTTACTATATTTTTTGCATTCTTTTCTCATTATTTAGAGTGCAAGGTGCTGAGTTAAATATCCTCCTCTTGACCTGAGGCTTTCAGATTCTTTGAGTTTTATTCCAAGGGAATCTAGACTTTGTAGCCTCTTTGTTTAAGAGTTGGGTATGAGTATTTGCCTCTGCTTCCTCAGCATCTTGTAAGGCCTAGGCCGGAGAATGCAGTCGTATGGAGCTTTTGAGTCAGGCACACCTGTAATTAGAGTGACTCTGCTATTAAACTTTTTGTGATCTGAGCAAGTTTCTAACATTTTTGAACTTTAGTTTTTCACCTTAAATTACTGTATAGAATTTCATAATGCATGTAAAACACTGCCTAGTGTCTAGGATGTAATCAACAATGCAAGGTGGCATTACTATTGGATCAACTTTTGTCTAATAGATTGAGCAGGTAGTATATGATTTGATTTTCTTCTAATCTCAGCTATACTTGGTTTTCAGTTTAGTTAATTATATTTGGTTATAAGTAAATATTTTAAGTTGTAAATATTAGTGTGTGTGTGTGTGTGTGTGTGTGTGTACTCATTTGAAGAGTGAGGTTTGGTGAAGAATGATTTATTTGTTTTACATAATGATTTTGGAGTGTGGTGTTTTTTAAAAATCTGGTTAAATATCTATACCTTTTTCCTAGAAATGTGCATATACATACGCTGAGTTTTCTTTCTACCTCTACCTAGGACCCTAGTTAGCATCCCTACTTGGGATAAAAATGGTGAATTTGATGTAGAGTGTCTTAGGGGAGGCAGCCTAGAGGACTCATCATGGTTTCTGGACTCTGATTATGTAAATTTTGAATCTTGACTCCTCTAGCTGTGTGGCTAAGTAATTTAAAATCTACATTGATTTTTTTTTTTCATTTGTAAAATGGAAATATTAATACCTACTTCATAGAGTTGTTTTGGGTGTAAATGACATGATGCAAAGTGTTTGCTTGTTACATGGTTAATACCAACTCAATTTTAATTTTTAAAAAGGGAGAAGATTCAAGGGCTGAAGTATTGTTTGTTGTATGTGACAGAATTAGTTGTAGCTATGGAGCTTTTAAAAAGTCCATTTGTGGGGCTGGGATTGTGGCTCGGTGGTAGAGTGCTTACCTAGCATGTGTGAGGCACTGGGTTTGATCCTCAGCACCACATACAAAAATAAATAAAATAAAGTTATTATGCCATCTACAACTAAAAATATATTTTTTAGAAAGTCTATTTGTGGATTCCCTTGCTCTGTTCTTTCCACTGAACCCTTCCCCAGTTCCAGATATTCTAAATCAGTACATCTGAGGTAAAATTTTAAGTAATGACCATTCTCTCTATTCTGTCAGTTAGTTTAGGGTTTTCACATTCTTGAGTCTTCTTTCTGCCATCAGAATGGAATTTCAATGCTATACTAACTTGTTATGCATGAAATAATAATAGTAGTCTCACCAAGTTCTTTTAACAACATCTCTCTGATTTCAGCTTTAAAGATGGCAGTATTGGGCTGCGGATATGGCCCAGTGGTAGAGCACTTGCCTAGCATGTGTGAAGCACTGGGTTCAATTCTCAGCACCACATAAAAAAATAAATAAATAAAGGCATTGTGTCTATCTGCAACTAAGAAAATAAATAAATAAATGAAAGATGAGCAGTATTATTTTGTAAGGTGATTATTTGTAAGTCATATCTGAACCTAGAAAAAACTGGATTTTTGAAATTATAATTTGCAAGTATTTTCAAACAACCTGAAGGCTGGGTAACAAGCTACTTTTATATATATATATATATATATATATATATATATATATATATATATATATATATATATATTTTAAGTTGTCAATGGACATTTATTTATTTTTATGTGGTGCTGAGAATCGAACCCAGGGCCTCACACATGCTAGGCAAGTGATCTACCACTGAGCCACAACCCCAGCCCCTTAAGCTACGTTTCTTATAGGAAGGAAGAGTAGGGTCTCTTCACACTTTGTATGTATCTGAATGCATATATTATTTTCTGACAGCCTATTACTAGCTCTCCACCCAAATGGATGGCTGAAATAGAACGGGATGACATTGACATGTTGAAAGGTAAGTGGTGCTGGTGTTTTCTAACTTTATTTTTTGAAATGGGATCTTATTCTGTTGCCTAGGCTGGTCTTCAGCTTTTGAGCTCAAGTGATCCCCCTACCTTATCTTCCTGAGTAGTCAGGACTACAGACATGTGACACAAACCACCTCCAATTTTTCTTTTACTTTTCTCTTTCAAGTATTATTGGCTTCAGACTGCCTACTTAACCATCCTTACTCATAGTTCTTCACATCTGAAATTCCTTTCTCTACTTTTTCCATGTGTAAAAAACCTTGTCACAATTGTGACAATTCAAGATTGTCACAATTTTTCTGTTGCTAATTATTTTAATATTAAGTTTATTTTGTATAATGCCAATTGACAAAAAAGGTCTCAAATAAATTTTCTTACTTAATTGTCATCAAAGTTCTGTTAGGTATAATGATGTCCATGGTTCAGAGGTTAACTAACCAAGATTTATTAGAAAGAGTTCTTTTAAGTCTAAGCTTTTTCCACTAAAACACAGTGCCTTATTTAGGATTTTATAGCATATATTGCTGTCATTGCTATGCTTAAATGACAACCTTTCTTAAGGGGTTAAGAGCTGGTTTTTTTCTCTTCCTATCCTTTTAGTTACTTCCATAAAGAATTCTAGAAGTAGTGAATATTACGTTTGATGAATGATTTGGAACTCAGTCACAGAACAGAAATTTAAATTAAAAACATTAATTTTCCACTATTTATTTTTATTGTCGTTCTGGTGATAAGATTCATGATGGTTGTGAAGTAATAGACTGAAATTATGGTAAAAAATCTGGAAGTCTTAAGCTATTTAAGCAGCCTGAACAGATCAAGAAAGTCTCCTTATGCCAGATATAGATAATGACTGCAGCATGATAAATGAGAGGAAAAAATATCTTTATTTGATTTCAGAAGTAATTCATTGTTCTGCATGCTTAAATACAGATTCCCCTCCTCTAGCCAGGGAAAAAATTAAGTCTCAAGGGCATTTCAGGTTCATTGTTCTGATGTTCCAAACAGACATTTATTTAATATCCCATTAACATGCGTTTCCTAAGGAAACTTCAAATTTTTAGTGAGAGATCTCATTATGTTCCATGCAAAATTGACCTGTTTTAAAACTAAAAGGATTTGTGTCCTACTTAAATGAAAATCTGGGAAAGTAGGTTTTTATTTCTAGTATTAACGTCTTTTTACTTGGAAAACTTAAAAATTTTTTATAGGAATTTGATTTGAAGGGTAAGTTTGGATTTATATCTAGTCTATGTTTTCTAAACTTTGGAAAAGTTTGGAAAATGGGAAATAGTATTTTGTTGCTATTTTATTGTTAGTTGAAATCTGGAGACTTGTAAATGGAGACTGTCCATTTTGCAGGGCTTTTTCGGTGCTATGGCATATCATAAGTTTTTTTTAAAATAATTTAGCTTGCTTTTTAAAAAAATATTTTTAGTTGTGGATGGACATAATATCTTTATTTATTCTTATGTGATGCTGTGGATTGAACTCAGCGCCTCACATGTGCTAGGCAAGTGTTCTACCACTCAGCCACAACCCCAGTCCTATCATAAGGTTCTGTATTTTAATGATGTATGCATTTTGTACACTAGACAAAATGAATGCTTATTATAAAAGGATCCTTAGGATAAAATACTTAATTTGTTACTGTTGCTCTTTTCTTATTAAATGGGAAAGATCATTTCAAGGCATTTTGCAATAGTGGAAAATTTCACTGGTTTCGTGTGTGTGTGTGTGTGTGTGTATATATATGTGTAAAAGATTGGAGAAGAAATATGAACCCATTTTCTACTTATTCAATAGGAATTAACTTGAAAACTCTTCTTTCTTTTTCTTTTTTGGTGGTGGGGGAGATTAAACCCTGGCTTTGTGCATGCTGTGCCCAAGTTGTACTGTAAAACTTTTATAGCCAGGATTCACAACCCAAATGAATTATTACTAGAAAACAGGGGAAAGAAATGGTATTGAAATAAATGATTCTGTTTTAGAACTGGGAAGTCTCACCACAGCTAATTTGATGGAGAAGGTACGAGGCCTACAGAACCTGGCCTATCAACTGGGGCTGGATGAGTGTAAGTACACAGATCACATTTATTTGGGGTTACATGTTGTGTATTTCCTGAATTTCAAGTTACACTTCAGGAAAATGTAATAGTCCCTTTATTAGGGAAAAGATAAGTGACTGAAGGTAAGAAGTCAATGTACTTACTCTACAGTATGCCTTTTATGATAGAGTATGCTGGAATAATTAACTGGGATTTACTAGGTAAAAATTATTTTTCTCTTTGCAGTAAAAGCCTGTTGAAATCCTTCAGTTTTTAGTTATAGAACATCAACTTGAACTAGCTTATGTGAAGACTGAAGAAAGACTTTGTTAGTTCATGTAAATTAAAAGTCCAGGGGGTAGAGATAGTTTTGGAGTCATCTAAATCCATAACCTTTAATGATACCATTGGGATGCACTCTAATTCTTGCTTTATGTTGCATATCAAAACTCACCTTCATGGATACGTTAGTCTTTTATTCTTTGCTGCTGCAGATAGCTTTTTTCTCAGCACTGAGGAAGGTGGCCAAAAGGAGGTCCAGTTCATACGTTTTTGAATTTCATGATCCCAAAAGAAGAAAGAAGTGTTTGAAAATTCCTGGGACAGACTTGTGCTGTTTTTTGTTGCCTCATGTCTCCAACCTTGAACCAGTCCTTTGGCCAGATAGCGTGGAACACTCTGATGGACCAGGCCTATGTTAGCCTGTGTGCAGACACAGCTAAGAGGTGTTCATTTGACCTAAATCACAGGGAATAGGAGTAAAGGGTTGGTTTCCCAAAGAAAAGCATATAAAATTAGAAATTTTTTTATATGCTTTTAAATGCATACAGACCAAGAATGTATTAGCTGCCATGAGTAATGCTTTAAAATTTCTCATTTGTGGCTGTCTAGTCTCCATTCCTTTAGTTTAAGATTATTTCTTTATACATTATCTCTCTTCTCATACTATACTTATTGTGAAACTGGAAAAGGAATGAATGAAAATTCTTGCTTTGTAATTGAAAAAAAAGATAGTCAACATGAGTACAGTGGTTAGACCTTGTTTTCAAGGGTTTCCTCCTGAGACTTTCATAAATTCATGATTTTGATCTTGAGGATACTATTATGATATTTAATTTCCTTCAAAACTGCAAGTTTTCATTCTGTGGTCATGTACAGCTAAGTAGAACAAATAAAAATAATAATTTAAAAATTCAAGTTTTATATTAATTGGAGCAATCCCCAAAATAGTTTTCCAAGCTATTTTTCTTGTTTCTTTAGAGCATGTAGAGCATGTAGTAGATTTGTTAACTTCAACATTTTGCTTCAACATTTAAAATTTCTAATTTTTGACAAAAAGTCATCATTTTCTTAGTTCTGTTTGTCCTTTTTTTTCTTTTCTTTTTCTGTTTTTAAGTTTAGTGCTGGGGATTTAACCTAGGGGTGTTTCACTACTAGCTACATCACCAGCCTTTTTTATTTTTATTTATTCATTTATTTTTTGTGGTGCTGGGAATTGAATCCAGGGTCTTGTGTATGCGAGACAAGCACTCTACCAGCTGAGCTATATCCCTAGCCTTTTTTTTTTTTTTTTTTTGAGACAGGGTCTCACTAAGTCACTGAAGTTGGCCTTGAACTTGTGATCCTCCTGTCTCAGGCTCCTGGGTCATTGGGATTTTAGGAATGTGCCACTGTGCCCAGCTCTTTATCTTTTCTTTGTTTCCATTACTGTATTCAGCAGCTGTCTTGTCATTTTGTGTATGTGTGTGTGCTGGGGATCAATCCCTGGGCATCATATATTCTAGGCAAGCCCTGTATCCCTGAGCTATATCCCCAACCTACAGTTGGATTTCCTTTACAAGAAGATATTTTTTAATCACTTCATAAATCAAGGAATAGAGACCAATATGTGGTTTGCTTGATTCACTCAATGGTAACTTACCCCCTGTCTATCCTGTGATTTAGTTCTTATGATTAAGCTTTATGTCTTGGCAAAATTACTAATTACTAGCTATGTCATGGACCCTCATGGTTCATAATGAAAAGGTAAATCTGTGATTTTTAAATTCATGAATGCAAGATTTAATAGAATTCCTTGAGTTTGTTTCTAGCTTAGGATAATAAATGCTGTAATCATCTTAATCATCAATGCTTTATCTATGTCTTTTAACAAAATAAACTTTATGCTTATTATATCAAGAGGGTGCTATATTACCAAACTTATTTGTCAACTGTATTATCTAGTTAGTGTAGCTGAAATTGCTATGTTTCCCCGTTTACTTTTTCTTTTGCTGCTTTTCTAATGAGAAAATAACGAAGAATTTTTTTTTCACTTTTTATTATAGAAAATTTTAAACATATCAAAGTAGAGAGAACAGAATAATACCTTACATACCCATTACCCAGCTTCAGTAATCAATATATGGCTCATCTTGTTTTGCTTATTAAATAATTACCTCCTGTAATTATTTTAAAACAAGTCCCTGGTATCAGTTAATGTTTTCTACCAAATAATTTCACAGGTGTTTTCAAAAGACAAGGACTTTTTAAATAATGTAACCACACTTCATTATGCCTAAAAAATTTTTTTTTTTTGTTTTCTAGAAGGGGTCTTGGTATGTTGCCTAGGCTGTTCCTGAACTTATGGGCTCAATTAATCCTTCACCTAAACTTTCTGTGTTGCTAGGACTAGAGGTTTGCACCACCAGGCCCAACTTGTTTCGTAATGCCATAAAGTAACCAATCAGGATTCATTTTTTCCTGATTGAGTCATAAATGACTATTTAGTTGGTTTGAGTCAAGATCTTTGATATTTGAAAGGTATGTCTTTAAATCTCTTCTGGTCTGTCATTGTTTCACCTTTCTTTTATTTTCCCTTGTCATTTATTAAACCTGGACATTTGTTCTATAGAATTTTCCATATTCTGGATTTTGTTGATTACATCCCTGAGGTTGAGCTTACCATGTTCATCCATCCGTATTTATTTCCTGGTAATTAGATATAGAAGTTTGCACACATTTTGACAAGAATGTTTCATAGGTGGTATTCTGTCTGTTCATCAGAGATGTATTGAGTCTGTTTGTCTTATTTTGTGTGCTATTAAGATTAATAGTTGATAAAACAAGCTGAAAATAGCTTTAAATTTCTCCATCAAACTTAACACCCAGATGAGTACAGTTTGATTACTGTCTCGGTCCACAATTAAAAATGGTAGGGGCTGGGGTTGTGGCTCAGAGGGTAGAGCACTTGCCTAGCATGCGTGAGGAACTGGGTTCAATTCTCAGCACCACATTAAAATAAAGTAAAAGGTATTGTGTCCACCTACAATTAAAAAAATGTTTGGAAAAAAAGATGATAATAGTGTAATATCATAATTCTGTCATTCCTTCTTACTGTCTGAAATTTTCCTATAAAGGACTGTTTGATTACCTTGCAATCTATTCCTACTGGAACAACAGGATAAATGATTCTTTTTATTTGTTAGTTTTCAGGATAATGAGTCAGTTTCTTAAGCATCAATAAAGTCTATTTGTTCTTTTTAGTTATACAGTATATTTTGACATATTTATACAAACATGGAGTATATCTTATTCTAAATAAAGTCTATTTTAATGACTTCCCACAGAATAAATAAATTTGGTGTGTTTTTGTTTTTCTTTGTTTTAATTAATGAAATATATTTTATATTTCTAAAAATTTAAGGCATTAAAAGTAGGGGTTTAAAGTTACCTGACTCAGCCAACTTCAGTACTGAACCCAAACTGCACAACATATGCTTGTTTCTGCCAGATGAGTCCCATGAGCACAGCTAAGAGTCTTCAAAATTATCTTCTAGTTCAAAATACAGCCTTATTTTGACTTCTATAGCAGTACTTTGCAACTGATTACCATTTTCCTTGATTATAGTGAATTAGCTGACATAAGAGAACAGTTTTTAAAGTTAGAAATGGAAATAATTACATTGATGTGTATTCTTGGATACAGTCTCCCTTTGTTTTATTGTGTATAGTATATTTGCATAAAAACACGACCTTTTTTTTTTTTTTTTTTTTGTCCTTACAGATTATTCATCTACTCTAGGGGTTGGCTTTTACTTGACACCCTAATCTGGTGTTTCGATGTCTCAATCCTCTTTCCTGCATTAATTGAGAGGATGACATGGATGAAAAATAAGCAGTAGGAACTGATGAATCCCTGAGGACCAGTGGTCCTGTTTTCATGCAAATATCTGCTCTGATAAAGATGAGGGAAAGAAAAAAAATGCAAAAAATATTTGTTCTCAAAACATGATTGTTTGTCATTTCCCAAGAGCATTGTTAAATGTTAGTATAGAAATAATGTGAACTTTCTAGAGCTGATAGTAGCTAGATTGTATCTTTTGGAAGATGAACCTTACCCTTGGATTTGAGTACATGATTATGCCTCAGATAATCTTTTGGGGCTAAAATGAGATAACTTTTGTTATAGATGTTTAATAGATTCTCAGATGATTGGGCCCCTTGGCTTGATTTGGGCATTTACTTTGTATGAAATATCCTTGAAATATACAGAAATTTAAAAACAGCAGAACTCCCTCTTGACATATAAAGAATTCCATTTCTGTTACTTTCACCTGAGTTCATTGCCCTTCCTCTTTTACTGGATCTGTATCAGTCACCTTCTAACTGGTCTCCCTGCCTCGCAACTATCCCATTCCAGTTCATCCTGTTTATTGCTACCAGATGAATTTTTTTAAAGTTCCATTTGCTTCTCTTTGTCCTTTGCTCATGAGTCACTAAGTGATCCGTAAGATAAATTCAGACTCCTTAGCATGACATTCAAAATCCTCTAAACTCTGACCCTAGCCTAATCTCTAGCCTTTAGACTTAATTCTCTACCAAAACACTGTACCCTACCCCCATTGGAATGCTCCTTCTGGAACACTACTCATATGTTAGTGTGACTTGCGCTACTCCTTTCTCAGGAAACCCTCTCTCTTCCATGAGCCTTTCCTTTTTATCCCTGCTCTGAAAAGTGAGCTTTTTCCTAGCCTCTCAAATTGCTCTTA